AAAATAAAGGATAAAATAGCTATATTGGTTTCGATAATATTATTTATATGTAAAATCATACTTAGTTCATTGGTATTTACGCTTTCAAATTCTATTTCATTGTCTTCAATGGCAAAGCATAATTGCACGTATCTGATTTGTCTAGTCTCAATTCGGTCAAATAATACAACTTAATAAAGAGGGTCAATGCTACAAAGAGGGCTAATTTAACAGCGTGTTGCGTATATATAATGCATGACGTGCAATATGTTTCTCGAATTTTTTTCATAGAGTGCCTTTCACCGTTACATTCTTTCTAAAAGTAATCTCGACATTTTTTAAATTTATTATTAAATAAATACATATTACATATTCGCCTTTTTCAATTATAAAAATGTAATTGCATATTTATTTTAAAATAAAAAATTTTATGATTTAATTTTTTTGGTTTATTCAATTTTGAAAGTCTTGATTGTATAAAAATTTTAAAATCATATAAGTTTTCACTTCTGATACTTTAATGCAATATGATTTTTGAAAAATGACCATAGCTTTAAGCATGAGACAGAAAAAACGAAATCTTTCCTTTGCATATTAAAAACTTTTGACGACTCAGATTTTTTTTCTTTAGCATTCTTCTTCACAGTTTGAGAAGCACTGCTGCATAAAATATGTGCACGCATAATTCAAAAATAGCAGCAGAGACAAGAGTGCGAAACTCCCACGCGAATGCAACCATGCGTAACGTATCGTGCGTAACGTACCGTTTGTCGGGATGAGGATGTGACGTTGCTGTTAGATTTGTTAATTCGCTATTTCATTGCTATAACTGTCGCTGCTACATTGACTCTTACTCCACGCTTCATATCATGATAGTTGATGAAGTATGCAGATGACATATACAGAGAGTAGGTAGGCATTCATAGATCGAGCTTTGCAATTCATCGTTATTGGAGTCGGCATTGAATATTACACGCTTTGTGCAGAAAGAATCGCAATAGCCTCGACCTCTAATATGTCGTAATTTCGTCCAATAGAGAGTCCATTGGGCCGATTTATGATTTCGGATCCGCTTATTAACGCGACTTTATATTTAGATACAGCTATATATGACACTTGAGTCAATCGAAACGTACGGAATAATTCCATGCCAAATACGTCGTTGGCGATAATTAAATTAATATATAACAGCTTGTTGTTTGATTGATCCAAATTTTAATCATTAAACGGAAAATCTGTATTTGCCTTTGAGAAAACAAGATGTATAACTCTTAATATAACTTGTAAAAATTGATACATTTATATTCATTTGCATATACTTATATATAGTTATTACAATACCTATAACAAGCTATTACAATATCTATATATGTATATCAGTAGACATTTCTTTAAAGTTTAAATAACATATAAAGATAATAAATATAAATAAAGTAAGAAAAAAAAATGACATGCGTGTAAAAAAAACTTATAACATTTTTAGCACACTTTTTAATATTTTAATCAAGTCGATCTTATCTGTATGTAGTCAAATTTGATTGGTTTTAATCATCGAGGTATAAAATTTATTATTTTGGTAAACATGACGCAAAAACTTTTACGATCCAGATAATGCTTATTACCTTGTCTGTAAGGTCGCTGTCATGTTGCCAATAATTGTTGACAATACAATTGTTGGCAACATGACAGCAATATGATTAATCAATATAATTAATTACGTTTGGTTATCTGGGTATAGATAATTTTATGCCATATTCAGAACCAGAGTGAACGAGCAATGATTTAGTACAGTGAGTAAAATAATGCACTGTAGTGTTATATACTTACTATACATTTGCTAACTTGAAATATTAGATGCATTCAATTGAAATTGATGGTCTAAAATTGTTGTTTCATAAAAATCTCAATCTACGTTTTATTTTAATGTATATATAATAGAACGCATTATTGAATGCAAGCATGAATGTTTACACAAGTAATCAATTAATGAAATTTCAAGAGCAAATAGACTAGATACTAGTATCCATACGTCATGTTATCAGTAATATAATAACCGTTAGTTTATCTAGAATTATTATAGTTATTATGATAGTAATATGTGACGACAACAATACAAATATATAGTAATTCTCATTTGATGTATATGTTTTCAAACTAAAAGAATTTGTTTGATTGTAACTCGTTGTCTCAACAAAATATTAATAATTTTACAAAATTGTTATACATTTGCGGCATTTTTTTAACATGGAGACAGTGTATTTAGCTTTTAAAATTTGACGTACAAAGTTTATTCATTCCTGTGCGATGCATTATGTGCTATCTATTCGAGTTTGTTTAATAAAAATATAGATAAAGAATAAAATAAAATCTGCAAAGCGAAATAATACAAAGCTAGAAATATTAAAAATAGAATTTTCCTTATCAGTTTAATTTTTGACACAATGTTTTTTTTATATCTATTTAATATGAAAGTTTTTAATTATGTACATATATGTATATAAATAACATCTTGAATTTTATGAATTTAGTTATTTTATTATTTATTTAATAATGCCATTATATTCATCAAGAAGCCGCATGGAATAATGTTAAAATATAGTTCCTTTCGTGATGTCAATCGTCTGACAATTATCAATATGCTGTTAGTCGACAATGCTTTGTCGTCACAAATCATTTCTCTTTGCGAATAATAAATCGGTATTAACAACTTGCGTCAATTTGCCGTTCTTAAAATTAGAATTCACGTAAGTTCAACGTGACAATCACAATATTATCGTATCTTTTCCATAGTTTTTTTCAAACTAGCTACTTCAATAATTATTGGCGACATGATAGCAACGTCACAGACGATTGATTATCTAGATTATTACGCGCATGTGAAGCAATAATCTAAAACTTAATATATTACGATAATTAGCAGGATTATTCAATATCAGTGCTCATTTGATGATTATAACGACTCGGCCTTGTTATCTCATACCGACTGCTGTAAAATGTATATATGCATATTCCACAATGACACAACGATCGTGCGATTAGCCTTCAAGGCCGTGGTCGCTTAGTTCCCCCATTTTGATATCGTTTTATCCCTTCCTTCCTGTTAGCTGATCAAGCTAATTCAAACTTGCGATTATTTTCCGAGATTTCCGCTTATCGCGTGATTAGAGCATGATAGAATATTACTCATTGACAGTTTGTCACGTGCTTCGAAATCAAGCATGTAAATGAAAAAATATATTCATTGACTGCAGTAAAGTCTTGAGAATTTTATTAAAAAATTTAATAATTTCAATTAAAAAACCATTATACAGGCACGAAAAGTTATTAGTTGTTTAAATATATTAATTGTTTAAATATATTATTAATAATAATTAATACACTATTAATATAGTAATAATAAAATATATGCTTAATGAAAAGTTTGCCTTTACTAATATTTCTTTAGTCATGTACATAAGTGGATTATCAAATTTATTTAAAAAACGAATATTATCTTTATACTTGCAGACAAAGAGAATATTATAGTAGCTCTGGACAGAGACACATATATTTCTAAGATTTTTCTTAGTGACATTGATATGTATTCATTACCATGAAAAAAATCCAATTAAGAAATTTGAATTAGATTTCAGCGACACTTCAAAAAAAATCGCTTAATAAGAATTGTATTTCAAAATAGAAGTACACCAATGTACGTAGATAAAATTATTATCGAAATCTTATGACACATAAACCTTAAAATACATAAAGAAGGATATGTGTTATTGATTCATTTATTAATAGTCTCCTATACTCTTTCACGAATTTTCTCTCAAGGTTTTAAAGAACTTTATTTTTGCACGTTGCAACGTAAAAGATTTTTTTTTATATTCATATTACACTTATAACACAGTAAAAATGGTGTTTCCAAATTATTCGTAACAATTTTATAATTTACATAAAACGCTTATCATTTTAAGCAAAATTAAAATGGATTAATATGTGGCAAATATATCATTTGCTATATCGTTAACTGATTTGAAACCAAAGAGATAGATTTGTATTCGATTATAATATAAAATTGTGATATAAAAGTATAAATATATATAGAAATAATATACAGAATATTCTATTTTAATAGAGAAATCGCTATGTATCTTTAAAACTTGATGTATATCATATAAAAAAATCTTTCGAAGACAAAATTTGCGAGGTCTTGGACAAATGATGTTAAAGTCAAATTAAAATTTAAAATGATCAACTCTTTTCTCTCTGTCAAATAAATATATTTTTTATTTGAAACATTTTTTTGACATCAAATTTAGAAGATATATAGCTGGTGCCTTTAAAAATGGGACACTTTGGATATAAAGATAGTATCACATCCAGCTTTATCGTTTTCACGACATAATGTTTGGTACATATCTTGACCGGGTTCGAATCGCGCCATAAATAGATAGACGAATTTTCGCGTTTTAATATAAAATAATGATCGCAAAGTGGTCAGATGTCCTCTAATTTGCGAGCCAAACCACGTAAAGGCAGCTGATAACGATGTCCGTCTGTCATACGTTCAAATAAATCCTGTTAAGCCTGATTAGCGGTCAGATGGTCGGTGGAGACGCGCGGTTCACGTGAAACGCGAGCGGGGCGTCTGCTTGCTCTTCCTATTTTCGTAGTCGTTTGGTATATAAAGAGCCTGTCCTCTGGCATTGCCAAAAGGTTTGGCAACGGTAGTCGCGCTTTTTGGCGCCGAACGCGGCGCCGTACATAGGGATGAACCGGACAGTAAGCGTATGCGATACGCGACATCCAGAACACGGTGCGGACATGCAAGTTGGTTCCGCCGGCTATAGATGTTCGTCGTAACATATTCGTTTTATGCCACATTGACGTCGATTTTCGCATTCTTGTCCGGACACCGTGTCGTAGGTGGGGTATCTTAAGATAGACTTCTTGTCCTCGCGCCTCATCACGCGCATCTTCGAGCCACGAAACAAACGTGCATGTGGATCTAGACGTGACCCTTCCTCGATTATTTCCCGAAGGACCATGTTTCTGCATAAAGAAAGTTTATCTAAGTGATACATTATTCTTGATCTCGTGATCTGATTTTCATTGGTGATGCGTTTTCTACGATTACATTGATTGATTAAAGAAAGTGGTACATGTTGAGTGTTGCTTTAGAAGTGAACTCCAAATATTGATAACACCAATCGAATAATTACTCGTGGTACCAAGTGACAATATTTATGCTTTGGCAAAGTCTTAGTGGTGTGTTTGCGCGCGTTTATCGAGAATATTTATTCCAAGGGTGAAGAAGAGCTGAAAACGAGAATGGGGAACACTGATAGTGCTCACGACGTGGAAATGAGCTCGCTGTCGACAATGGAAGACGATCATCTACACATTGGGGTGAATGTTATACAAATATGTGTGTGTGCGTGTGTATGCGTGGGAGTATATGCGTGTGTGTATTTTTTACGGCATCAAATGAGTTGATTTGCTTTACTATGCATTGTTTCGATTACAGCTATTCGCTACTTTATCAAAAAAATTATGACCAAATATTTAATTGGATTATATGAACCATTTCTTTTCATTTAATATTGTAATGTCCACAAAATAAATTAATTTTTTAAAATAAAATTACATTGAAAATATATTCTTAATTTCCACGTTCAAAAAATCTCAATATATTCGAATTCCAATGCACCTTCGTTTAATTGATTCACATTACGTATTAGAGCGTATATTTTTTATAAATATATATTGACAATAACAATTGGCTCATTTTTTTTAATTTGTTCTGTTACAGAAAACGCCAATGCGCCCGATGATAGCGGAATACGAGCCAAAGAAGCAAGGTGTGAAAACAGAGCTCTCAGACGTAATGCTTGTCAAGTAAGTCTCAAAATTCCATTAATGATATCAACGCGAAAGAACGATTCAATGAAATAATTGAACGAGTTCATTATCCGCTACCACGACCAATCATCACCATTGCTTTCTTGCTAAACCCAAATGTTGAAGCAAAGAAGTGAGTGAGAAAAACCCAAGGATCATATATTGTGCATCTACATTTTTTGAATATATGTACTATTTTTCTGTGCTACAATGTATTACTCCGATTATTTTTTTTTAATTTATTTACTTTAATTTCTCTTTTTTTGTTTTGTTGTCGTTTCGTTTTTATCGTTAAACTATTCTAATCGTTAGTACCAACACACTAATCGTGCATACCGCCTGATCGCTGACGTAGAATTCGTAGCGTAGTTGGCACCAGGGATGCTTGACAGCCGCTTGTTGAATCATGGACGAGTGCAAAGTTGTTCGTTTGTATGCGTATAGATATGTATATACCGAATCAAAAATGCTTTAACACATGAATTTACATGTACATGTATAGTGGCAGCATATTTGCCACACGTGTTTCTAGGTGTTTCATTCGCATTGTTAATTACTTGATAAATAGCATTGTCTTGAAACAAAGTAAAATTATTAAAAGACACATGTGCTGAATAGGTATCTCGATAGGTGGCCACATTCATGTATTAAGGCATTTTTTTCATGTACATATCTGCTTATTGTGTCATGTTCTTTCATACTGTGCGAACGAAAAATACATTTAATTTACGACATGCAAGATCTTTTTAACTTTCAAGACATAACATCGACCTGTGAAACCGACTCAATGTCTTAAGTAACATTAGAAATTATCCTCCATCTTTTTTCTTCCCCTTTTTACTTTTATTTCGTTTAATATAAATAATTAATGAATAATTACATTTTTTTTTTAATTTTATCTTATTTCTACTCTTCCAGAAAGTTTAATATTAAAATAAAAAAAATATTTTGACCGCTTTTAAATGAACAATAATTAAATATTAAACAACAATCCGCCGTTAGTTGATTGAATTGATGTTATTATAATAATGAAAATGTTATATTATGTCTTGAAAGTTAAAACTAATGCTAAATTTATTATATATAATCAAAAATATAAAAATATAAAATATAAAACAATCTTAAAATAGTTTTATTATTTTTATCTTGCTAATAACAAGTAAAGTTATTCTTTATGAATAAACAAATAATAACTGAAGTATCAGTAGTATATCTATAGCTTCTATAATGAAATGCTATCTCAACTTGATAAATAAACAACAACAAAATATAAAATAGTTACAAGATTACTTTCTCAAGAATGTATAGGATGACAGAGTTAACATAGTAAAGGCTATAATAGTAAATTAAAAAATTTCATTTAAACATTATTAAATTATTAACTTATTTTTTAAATATCTCAGATTGTACCAAAATAATTATTAATCATTAGTCATTCATTATTACTATTAATTGTACATATATATTAGTAGTTAACAATGTAATATTTTAAATTTAAAGAGATGTCTAAAAAGAAAAAAATTGTTACTATAAATTAATTATTATAAATACATATTATTAACAATAAATTTTATATTCTAAGAGTAAACAATAAATTATTGACTTTTTTTTATTGGCAAAAATATTTTTTTTGCTTTTCTATTTAAGATGTGACAAAAAATGAAAATATAGGATGAAATCAGATGTTCATGCAAACGATCGATTTGCCTCGTAAATTTAGCGGCGTAACAAGGAAATCTTTGGATCCTTTGCGCTCAAGACGAAACTCCTCTGCTGTCATTTTAATCAAAATCTATTGATACGCAATAATTTTTTATACGTGCGAATTCTCCTTGAAGTAATTTATATGAATTGTTTACGCAGTTGGTTAATCTTTGACACTTCATGCATATATATACATATTTGTGCATTATTATGAATTTCTTGTATTTTTGTCAGTGTAATATGATATACATTATTCTAATTTTGCTAAATAGAATTATATCCATACAGTTAATTGTTTAACAAGGACGACTTCTAATTCTATTTATTGTTTAACAAGGACGACTTCTAATTCTATTTATTTCTCACATATGCTTTTTACGATTCATTTTTCACTTATTTATGATTTTTCTTGATATATTGCAAATTATGTGCTACATATTACGTTGCAACTATTTATGCAGTTCCGGAAGCAACGAGAATGATCTATTTTAATTAGCGTCGACAGAAAAACAACAAGAAACGAGCAGGCCTGCATCATGATATATTAAAAAAAATGCTACAAGAATTGAATAGAACTTCCTGTCATAAAAAGAATAGAATTTGAACATTATGTACATGTGTGTATTGGAACACTCAATATTTCAACAGGAAATAAAGCAACACTAAGCAAAACATGACGTTATAAAGTGTTAACAGAATGTAGTAATTAAAAATTATGTTTAAGTATTCCATAAGTACATATGTGACGGCAGAAACGGAACATGCACCAGTGTCTTAAATAATAACACAGTAGGTGGTCTATTGTGTTATGAAATAGCAGAAACACAGTAGGTGGTCTATTGTTATGAAATAATAGCACAAACACGATGATCACATAAGATATGTTAAAATAATTATTGCATTTTCCTCATTGTCAAGTTTCTGTCACAGTTTATTTGAGAGGCTGAGAAATACGACTAATTTTTCGTTTAAGCAAGTTACTGTTTCTGCTTATTTAAGAAGCAAAATAAGACTTTAATTCTTTTAATAGAAAATTTTGAATTTTTTTTAATTAAATAAATAAATTATATATTTAATCGCTTGTATAACATAACTATTGGAATATGTTATATTACATATTACATTTATATATGAATGGCAAATTACAAATAACTGATGACTTATTGATAGCATTACAATAATACTTGTAAAATTCATTTTGAATTTTTTTCCTTATACAATATTAATATAACTATATTTATTGAATTATTGTATCATATCCTTGTTATATTTTCGTCATCATAGCATGATGTCAGGCTCACTCGACTTCTATTGTCGATATCTAAATATCTGATAAGATAGGATTGCACTGTATATCTTCAGCGTTTATATTTCTATTGGCACGTTTTGACAGCAGATCATATTTGACTGAATAAGAAACTGTTCAACAATAAGATTTATTACATCAAATTAATCTCATCAATTTGCATCGTATATTATTTGTACATCTATTATATATATTTTATATATTTTATTATATTTATTATATATTTGTACATTTATTATATTTTATATATATCTTACACCTGCTATCTTTATATATATCTTACATCTACTATCTTATTACGCCTTATTTTATAATTTATCGCGAATAACGCTGATTTTTCGCGCGCAAAAAAGGCAGCAGAAGGAGAGTCGTTGCAGCTCCTCCCTTACTAATCGAGAATACTTTGTGTAGAGATCATGCGGTATGCAAAGCAGGATGTTCCTAGAAGATAAAGAATTTGTCTCTGTCTTTATTGTATAATATGTGCATTTATATGATTCCAGACAGTATAAACTCCGGGCATAGATTCGGGCTCTATGAAAGTGCTCTGCAAATATAATGAAAGAGAATAAAAAAAAAAAGATACTATCATTGAGAAAAAAACTAAAAAAATATGACATTATCGGATTGTTGCTCTAACACTTATTTTGGTAAAAAACTCACACAGCGACGATACGACAATCGACACGACGCTAACTTATGACTTGTAATTATTCAAAAAAATGTTTTGCCAATGTAAGTAGATTTCTAGGTATCGCAACAGTTATTTTTGCATCTCGTAAAGCATTGTTTGTAGAATGTAGAATTTATAGCAGAAAATTCTAATAATACCTCTTGGCAAATTTAGATCGCACTGCTAAATATTAATCACCGCACTTATGTTAGATAAATATATAAGTTTCTATGCTACAATTAGAACGATTTTTATGAGAAACAATTTCAGTCAAACTTTACAACTTATAAATAATAATCTTAACATGGATAGACGTCAGACAGAAACATTGTTTTCTAAATTTCATTAACAGTTGAGATATAAATTCCGTCCTCGAACTCATTTATATCGATTAAGCATACAATAAAAAAGCGCAAATCATTTATCTGTCTCAGAGTTTAATTTCTCTTCATCTAGAAAATTGCTGCTGCAGTTGCAAGATCATTTTTTTGAGTGATAAGACGCGACGTTATCAGACAGTTGTAAAATCCTTCGTTAAAAGCCGAGACATTGGCATCTTTCTGATTTGGTAAATGATATAGATCGCTCGACTATGTGTGTAAAAAAAAAAAAAGAAAAAAAGCGGAAACAAAAAAAAATAACACTCGGCCAAAAGTGCGAAAAGTTCGGCAAGCAAAGGAGGCTTGTTAGTCGTCGTACTGCGTCGTGGCGCTGGGCGTCGCGGTGATGCAGTGCGGTGGTTGCAGCTGCCCCTCTGTATGTATGCCTGTAACGCGACGCGTGAATTCTTCACGTCACGTTGTAACACGTGATACGGACACACACAAATTCTAATCCAGAGCTTTCTCAACAGAATGTTTTGCACGACTACCGAAGAGAAACTACCGCACCTAAAAAATATGGGTATCTATAATACCTATCTATCTCTACACACACTACTTATTTTTCTCATTAATCTGTAATCCAGGGTTGGGAAGTGTGTAATGCGTTACTTGTAATTTATGTACGCACTTGTGATATGTACAACTTGTTACCGTTACGGTTACTATTTTTTTTTTTACCCCAAAACAAATTACAAATTTCTGTCTATGATAAAAAGTATACATATGCAACTTCTATATATTTTTTCATTAATGAAAATGTATTGTTGCTTTTCGAACATAAAATGTAATACATAAAATTAAAGGCGCGAAGAAACAATTTTAATCACATATTTACAAGAAACTAATGATTTAAAAAATCTTTTGGGTATCAAAATCAAAATTATATTGTCTTTATTATACGTATATAATTAAAAAAAATTGAATAGTATAAATTTTATGCGTGTGCATTTTATACATGACTTGGTCTTGCAATGGCGTTAAGAAAAACTTGACGAGATTGCAACGACTCGTTACTAGTAACGGTGACGTTAACGAGTTACAGTAACAAATTATTTTAAATTCGGCAACGAGTTACTTTTATAAAGTAACTTTCTCCCAACTCTGATCTAACTTAATCTAACCTACCTAGTACATGAACGTATACACATATTCTATTTTTGCTTCTCTCTATTTCACACATATGTATACGTTCATACTCTTCATCATAGCGCGCAATCACACGTCACATGCGCGCATATACAGACACATACATACGCACACACAAATACAAATTTATACAAATTCATGACTTAACGCATTTCCGATTCTTACTACACATCGGAAAAATAATATTCTGATATATTATAGGAGATTTTTTTTACGAGAATGAAATGTTGCCGAATATATATGTCCCGACATTTCTGATACTTGTCTCTGGTACTTTTAGAATTTGTGATTCAGAAAAGAGACAGCCATTTTTAATGAATGATTTAAAAAATCGGCATTATCACAAATTGTATGTATTTTTTAAAATTTGATATTCACACTATTTTTCAGGGTATTATGTAAACTTGCTGAATGATCAATGGCTTATGCTTAACTGAACAATTTATCTTAGTTGATTCATAACAAACTATAGCTCAATAGAGATTTAACTCTTCAGCACCGCATATATTTTATTTTTGATATCTTTCATAGCCATACATAGGTCATTCGTATCCGGCAAGATTTTAATCGCATTAAAATACCACAAAAAATCTGAAATAATTTACAAATTAAACTTTCAATTTCTCTAAAAATTATAATTTTGTAATAGATTCATGAAGAAACAGTATTGAAGTTTTTTAATTTAGATATAAAGATTTACAAAAAAAAATTGGAAGAGTTAAATCTTTCAACAAGTTTATTATTTGAGCACAAATTGAAAAAAATTTCAGACTAATGAATAGCATTTTTCAGAAATACACTTTTTTATCAAACTTTAATACACTTTATTTTAATGCAGAAGATTTTTTTTATTATGAAAATATATAAAAAATTATATTTGCACATATTTAGATGCAATGCATTCAATCCGAAAATAGCTACTTTTCAAATGTGACATTAATAATATCGAATGGACAAAAAATCATTTTGCACTTAAATTTATATATTTATACATATTCAAAATAATTCAATAAATAAAAATATATCAAAAAATAAAAATTTACTTATTTGTGAGAAAAGCAATTTTAGAATCCATATATGAATTGTTCATAGTCACTTAAAATTTGAAAGACATTTCTTCTATCATAAAATCTAAAAAAAAGTCCTTTTGAGTAAAGGGCTTTTCCTGAAACTCGATAAATTTTAAATGGTGTGCTTCTGAGAGTTAAAATAAAAATCCAGTAAAAACAATCATATTAATGTTATATAGATGCAATGAAACTGAATATTACAAATAATATTACGCAACTATTACTTGAATTACTGGTCATTTCCCATTCATAAATATAACAATAATATATATATATATATATATATATATATATATATATATATGTCATAACATAGTAACATTCCCATATAGCATAAACGTAATTCTTTCAATAGAAATAATAAAAAAGAATTAAAATTTAAATAATTAAATTTTTAATTAATTTATAAAAGTCAAGATAATCCTTAATTTGGATAGAAATTAAATTTATTTTATACTTTATTTTGTGCATTCATGACAGAAACTTGAATACAAAATAATACGCTACATATATATAACCGAAAAAATTATAAGTCGATATTATACTGCACAATTTATTGCAAAAGATTTAATATTGCATAATTATACGTGATATATTATGGTTTTATATTATATATAAAACTTTTGTATTATACATATTATTTATTGCTTTTATATTATAACAGATATTGTGTGGAAAATCTCTAACCGACACATCATATTTTCCACTGGTATAATTTGCTTGCTATCATTTGATTTTTTAGAGTTATGCGTCTGCAATCGAGTATGATGCAGAGAACGCAGGAATGGAAGTGGTAACATGAGCTATTGTTTACATTTGTGACTGTTGAATGCACAAGTTCAGCACTTAATGTTGTTATTAAGTGTGAAGTTTCGATAAGATATTATTTACAAAGCTTTGCCTCAAATTCCAACCAGCAATTTAAATTCGGTTTGGGATGAATAAAATTTGACTAAAAACAAGTTGTCGATTATAATCTAACAATATATCAATTTATCTGTTTGCGTTATGCTTCTTTTTTTATATATATATATAATAAGATAGATGCAGCGGGGAAAATATAATAATATAAAATATAACAAAATTAAATATTAATAGAAAATTATATACAATTCCATTTTTTTATATATACTCGTTTAATATATATATATATATATATATATATATATATATATATATATATACACAGGGTGTCCCAGTTATCTTCCGTCATCTTTCAAAGAGATTCCTGGTATCATTTGAAGACGATTTTTCCTCAGCGAAATTCTATTGCCTATTTGAAGCGAAAAATCAGAACTTAACTTAACTTTTATACGAATGAAATGAATGTCGAATGTTATGAATTAAATATAATTTATTTGATTTATTTGATTTTATATTTACTTATATGATCCATTATTAATTCCACATATGTAGAATAACATGAATATAATATATGTTTATGTTATATTTATGAATGGGAGATAACTAATAATCAATGGGAAATAACTAATAATCAATAGCTTATCAATAATGCTTATGCAATATTATCTGCAATATTCACACACTACACATTTGTGTTATATATATAATTTATATATAACATTAATATAATAGTTTACTGAGATAAAGAGACACTTTTTTCATCAACTTGTTAATTTTTAATTATAACGAAAATTTAATTAAATATGTCCCTTTTGCCGACTTTGTAATTTTCACGATTTTGCTGATCAAGTCTCGATTAAATTAATCGAGTAATTTATAAGTGAAAGAAGCGGTAGTATCTTTATAGAGCGGTAGAATCTTTATAGAAAGAGAGAACACTTGTATATACGTAATTTATATATTCTATTCATGGAATATGATGTTCACTGCGGTTATGCTGCGATATATTAACGTTGCCGGTTTTCCAGATACAAATGCGAGAAAAATGACGTGCCCATTACGGTCACAAATGGCTCGACCTTGCCACTCGTGGAGCGACCGACCGATGAAGAAGCCGACCTTTACAACCCATTCGAACATCGTAAACTTGTCCATCCAACCTCGGACCTCGACACGCTTATACATCTGCTCAAGGGGAGTCTGGGCACAGGCATACTCGCGATGCCGATGGCTTTTCGCCATGCCGGTCTCATTTTTGGTCTTTTCGCTACATTTTTTATCGGTGCAGTTTGCACATACTGCGTACATGTATTGGTTAAATCCGCCCATGTCCTGTGCAGACGGTTACAGACACCTAGTCTGAACTTTGCTGATGTGGCAGAAGCTGCTTTTCTAATAGGACCCGAGCCCGTTCAAAAATACGCCAGACTTGCCAAGTAAGTATGATTATATTATACAAAGAACATGTAAAACTTATATAAAAATGCATTAAAATGTTATATAAAAGGTGTCTATCTATTGTTACCACTTTATATATACAGGGTGTCCCAAAAGTCCCGGACCGGTCGAATATTTTATAAACTATCCACTTTAGAAAGAAATGTTTCAGACAAAAGTTGTATGGTTTGAAGGGGGCTATCAGATAGTGACAATGATTTGACATGGGAGAGTCATTTGAAGGTGATGTAAAGGTCACCTTCAATTTCTTAAATGGAACCCCCTATTTTTTATTACATATTCGTGTAGTTTATCTCGAGAGCTTTCCAAAACACTATAATAAAGTATTTCTTCATTGAGTACTTTTCGAGTTATGAGGCTTGAAATCATTTCTTAATTTTGCATAAACCATAAAATATCTTTTGTCTGAAACATTTCTTTCTAAAATGCATAGTTTATGAAATATTCGACCGGTCCGGGGCTTTTGGGACACCCTGTATAATATATCACTCCTTTCTCTTTTCTCTCCTCCCTCAACCTCCTTGTCTTCCTTCCTTTCTTCTTTCCTCTCCTTTATTTCTTCGCTTTTGCACTTTTTTCTTTTCTTCTTTTTTTATTACCATTATACATCTTTTTTGTTTTTCCTTTCCTTCTTTCTTCCTCTTCTTTTTATCCCTCTTCCTCATTTTCCTTTCTTTCTCTTCTTTTTTCCTTTCTTCTCTTTTTTTCTCTTTTCTCCTTTCTTTTCTTGTTTCCTCTCTCATACATCTTCTTTTCTATCTCTTTCGTATTGTTGCTATTACTTTCTATATTATCAAATATTTTTTAATATTATTTCAGAGCGACGATTAACTCGTTCCTAGTAATTGATCTGGTCGGTTGCTGCTGTGTATATATTGTCTTCATCTCAACTAATGTTAAGGAAGTTGTAGACTATTATACGGAAACAGACAAGGATCTACGGCTGTACATGGCGGCGCTTTTACCGCTACTCATTATTTTCTCTCTTGTGAGAAACCTTAAGTTCCTCGCGCCATTCTCGATGGTAGCGAATATATTGATCGCCACTGGCATGGGTATCACCTTCTACTATATCCTCGGTGATCTACCCACCATCAGTGATGTTCCAAATTTTGCTAGTTGGTCCGAACTGCCCATCTTTTTCGGCACTGCTATCTTTGCCCTCGAAGGCATCGGTGTCGTAAGTATCCACACATCTTATATTAACTGTAATAATTTCTGTCGTTACATCTTTATATCATTAATATTAGATAGGCATATACATGAATGTGTTACAATATGCATTTATAACATGCAGTTGTTTATATGTGCAAGATTATGATTATGTTTAAAAATATAACAGAAAAGTGTACAAATAAAAGCTCAAATTTATATTTGTTTCAGGTCATGCCGCTAGAAAATAATATGAAGACACCATCGCATTTTATCGGCTGTCCGGGTGTTCTCAATACTGGCATGTTTATTGTTGTATTGCTATACAGCACTGTCGGTTTCTTCGGTTTCTGGAAATATGGCGAGAACACAAAAGCCTCCATAACGCTTAATCCTCCACAAGATGAAATACTATCACAATGCGCCAAAATAATGATAGCTGTTGCAATTTTTCTTACTTACGGACTTCAATTTTATGTGCCCATGGAAATTATATGGAAAAATACAAAACAGTATTTCGGTTCTCGGCGAATGTTGGGCGAATATCTCCTTCGCATTTTATTGGTAATTTTCACTGTTTGCGTAGCAATCGCTATTCCTAATCTAGGCCCGTTCATCTCACTTGTCGGAGCCGTATGCCTATCCACATTGGGTCTTATGTTCCCATCGGTGATCGAATTGGTGACCAGCTGGGAATTGGAGAACGGTCTCGGCAAATGGAACTGGCGGCTGTGGAAAAATATCGCCATCATTGCCTTTGGTATTTTGGGTTTCGTTACTGGCACATACGTCAGTATACAAGAAATTCTTGAAGGCAAATGAGGCACCAAATTCGACGCGAAGAGCGGTCCAACTATTCGTGAATACTGCTCATCGTCTGATACTATTTACACGATGCCTTTCGCGTGGATGTGATGCTATTGGCAGATGAGGTATCAGCTTAGGAACAGTATCCCCTTTCGAGTTTTTACACTCTACTTATAGCAATGACTATGACTATGACTATGACTGTGACAATAACGAAGAAGATAACGAAGACAATAACGACGAAGACATCAAAGAAGTTTTCACACATGCACGAATTCTCATTTATCATTATCTTATTAATAGGCAGATTCATATTATCAAAATGTAATCGACGTATCATATGCGATTTACATGAAAATCAATCAAATAAATTCGAAAAATAACTTCATATCATACTTTTAACAATTATCATTTTCGCGCGAATATCATACAAAAGCATTATTATTTATAACAGTATAAATCATTGTATTAAGTTGGTGCGAAAGATGTAACATTTGTTAATTAAACTTGAAAACCAAATTACATAGTTTCAAAAAAATAAAAAATTATGTGATTACATTATTAAATAATTACTCATCATTAATGAGAAAACAGAAAAGAACATCAATATATTTTATCTATATATTGTATAGGAAAAAGTCTAATTCTTAGTCTAATTCTTCTTTTAAAATTTCTTTAAAAAGAAAGAGAAAAAGAATCAGGACTATTTTTATTTAAAATACTTAATAATAAGATGAAAAATCTTTAGCGCTAACTTAATACTTTCAACTAGAATTTTTTTAAGAACAGGATCTTTAAACTAATTGCTGTGTATTTAACGAATTTTTATATTGTAATGATATATATAGTATAGCAGAATTAAAGAATATTTATCATGGTATCGGTCTCCAGAAAGAATTCCAATTTGATTATTAATTATAATGTTTATGTATTCTTTTTCTTCTATTCTTTTGCATTTTATTTAATCATGCCACATCAGTTATACGAGTGTCTTTTTGCAGACATTACAACTGCGGGACGGTTTTCTAGAATAATGTAATATTTTCTAGAATAATGCGACACATTTATTTGTCGCACGTATATTTTGTATAGTTACATCTATATGCGCGGTGCATGCACACGTGTGCATATATACAGAAAGCTTTAAAGTTAAATAATCAAACTTTACCCGTATATAAATAGAAACGAGAAAAATATGTAAACAATGGGACGAAAATATTTTATTAAAAAGTTATAACGATAATAAAATTAATATGAAGAATAGCAGATTCATTGTTAATGCAGAGAATAAGTTAGTAGTATTTATCTAATATATTTATTTCAATTATATTTTTCTTATAGAAAATGTTATCTGTGATGAATTGTAAAAAATAAACAAAAATATATTATGTAAAGATTAATTCGGGATAAAAATCATTGAGATTAGTTTGTTCATTAACGCATAGATATGAAATATGTAGAGTATTAAATTGAACAATTTTTTAACAATGTCAAGTTTGATTTTTTAGAAATAAAAGAAGTATTTTTTGAAATGAAGATTAAAGTGCTAATATTTGATTTTTCTATAATGTATAATAAAATGTTTTTGGGCTAATGTTTATATATTTTATTAATTGTAAAACATCAAAGAGAGAGAGAGAGAAAGAGAGAGACCAAAATTTGATTATTTAATTTTGAAATTTTGCGCACGCACGAACAATATACAAATACATATATACATAGTCAAATACAAGATGTTTGAAGCGAAACCGACAAACTTTGCCAGTGTGTTCGGAAAGTCATTCTAAACAAAATGAATCAGACGTATCATGGATCAATTATCTCGATTTTATTTTCGATATACAGGTTTACCATTTAAATGTAAAATTGGAAATGTAAATTTGTTCACTAGTATAAATAAGTATTCGACCACTGCATTGTTTGAGTTTTACTGTGTGGTATGTCAATAGAATGTTAAGTGAAAAGTCAATTTCCTAGTCTTCTATCAAACTGATTCGACAATCTCAATGTTTTTTATCTGCCTTTATTATAAAAATTCGTTGCGACACGTAATATATCTATCTAAGACCGCCAAATGAAGAATCGATTTGTAAAATATTGCGTTTTGCGACAGAATGTCGATCGAGTATCACGTCAATTTTCTTTAAATGTCGTACATTAATATTTAACTTTAAGAAAAATCAATCATATTTCTCTATAGAAAATATTATTTGTAAATTATGAAAATCGCTTATTTTCTTAGAGAAGAAATCAATTTTTTATTGTATTTTAATTATTGTTACTGAAATCGATCTATTGTATAGTATATATTGTATTATTGAAAATTATATACTTTAAACTTTAAAACAAAACAAAAGATAGGTGTTTTCTCACATACATACACACATACACACATACGCGCGCATATATGCACATACACATTTCTGAAATTTAAAACTAATTTTTGAGAAATTGTTGAAAACCAATTTTCTTTTAAAATTTTTTCTTGTAAAATATCTTATAGGTCTTATAGAAATCTTTATCTTTAATAAATTGTATTATTTGATTTTTTTATATAACTATTTTTTAGTTATTTTATTATCGACTAAATTTCCAGAAATTATGATCAGAAGAACTGGTTTCTTCGGATGTAATGATTGATCGGCAAAATTCTGCTGCAAACCGCTGCTCTGTTCCTAGTGCATGATGCACAAAATTGTACAAAAAATAATTATCCATAAGATTAATCTATAAGAATAGTAGGCAGAAAAGTACGTAAGTGTAGTAATTTGATGCATGCTTGCTAATGTGTAAGATTTGCGAGACATAATCGCGCGCTTTCAGCATACAAGTTAATGATATTAATCGGTTTTATTGTTGCGGGAACAGAGAAGTTCTAAGAGACTTTTAATTTTTCGCATATTAACTTTAGAATTGAAAATAAAAGACGAATATTTGTGTTAATGCATCTATTGACAGAATGAAGAATAACTTACCTAAATTTATCAAAAGTGTCACGAATAAATAATTAAAACACATTAGCAAAAATAAAATTCAGTATAAAGCTATTATTTTATTAATCATTTGTATCTTTTTGATGCTCAATTATTATCAATAATGTTGATTTATAAATGTTGAGAATAATAAATCTTTTTAAAATATGGACAAAAAACAAGACTTTAATTTTTTGTAGAAAAAATTTCTAACGCATTTTTCGTATCGATCTCTTCATAATTTTATATTTTCTTTTGAACAATATTAAAGGTTCGAATTATTTCTTTAAATCTGCCCGAAATCGTTGCAATCCTTAAGTCTTTATATTTTATATATATATTACATATATTCAAATGCATGCAATATATCTTGTTCATTTTAACATAGGAAAAACTCAGATTATTTCGAATATTTCGAACTGATGAACAAATAGATTGAATATTTAAATAATTCATAAAAATGTTTAAGACAAATAATTGAGATATGATAAAAAGTAATTACATCCGAAATGAATGGAATTGTTTAATGATTGAATTTTTTAAAAACAATCCTTATCTAGCCATGAATTTTGAGAATTTCTAATTTTTTTTTATTGTTTCTTTTTTTTCTGAAAATCCATTATTAATAAATATAAACTTACTGTGTATTCATCCTATATTTTATATCTTTATAATTTATCTTATAGTTTATTTTTGTTATCCGCCAGACTCGAGACTTTTACACACATACATACATCATTGTTTCGACTCCAATTTTATCACACATGTGTGCAGAAAAAAGGACTCGAGTCCAAACACTACTGCGGAATCACGGTAGGAGATGTTCCTCCCGCGTAGCATTTTACGATCCGAAAGATTTAGAAAGGCGCGTTTGCGCCAACCTCATTGCAAGCAGATATTCAACTCTGCCGTTATATAGTATATAGACAAGCCATAATAGAAACTAAGTTAGTGAAGAAATAACGTATATAAATCTGCTGCAAAATCGAAGTTGTTGGCATTTTGCTATCTATGTTTTAATAAATGAATAAATGACTCATACTTTGTTACAATGTATCAAAATAAATATAGAAATGTATAACTGATTTTTTAATATAGCCTGCTTTTTCTATATTGTGAAATAATAGTGTATTATTAAATGTGCATTTCTAAGCAATATATCACTTTATATATATACATACACACGCATATATTCTTAGAATAAAATTTAATACATTTCAAAAAGTTACGTATTTTTCTATTAAACTCTTTGCTTTGTTGTAACTGTACAAGAAAAAAATTATTTACGTAATCGAGTTGACCTGGTCTCTCGTAAAGGTGTATTAATTTTATTTCGTTTTGAGGACGGTAATACGTCGACATCGTCATCGAATGCAATTTTCGTATTTTTCTTTTGTACATGTCCTTTTCTTTTACCTAAGAAAAAACAAAATAAATTCATTCATTCATCCCATTATCTTTAATTGCATATATCAATTGCCCCATTATTTATAAAAAAATTACACAGTCGAAAAATCATACATAATTGAAAGATCATATGCAGATGAAATAAACCATAAACTTAGAGTATTATATTTTCAATAATGTTTGATTAAATTCATTATATGTCATTAACTATTTTTATCTAATATTTATTATCCTATGTATGTATTAAAATATATTAAACAAATACCAAGCTTTCCAGGAGTTGAGGCATTTTTGTTTCTGACATCATCATTATCATTATTATCATCATCATTATTCTCTGCCGGATGAAAGACTTTTCCACTGGTCGATTCGTTTCTATTATTTCTCGCTAAGAAAAATAAATATAAAATACTTATATATATTTGTATATCTCTAATTTTGAATGTAAAAAATTAACTAAATCGACTTTATTCACTTACATTTTACAATAGGTGCATCGTCTACATCTTCCTCGGAATCATCTTCGGAGCTATCTTCATCGCTTTCATCATTCTTGTTCTTATATTTATTTTTACGAACGTTTTTCCTATTCTTCGGCATGATAGACGGTGGTGGCATCAGATGGCTATCTGCATCTTTTGTGTTTTTTATTTCGCTGTCTAAAAGTTCTTGTATTTTCTCTTCTAATTCTGTGCAAGCGGCATTAGCATCTGCTTTTTTCTTCGTTTGCTCAATGATATTTTGCAATGCCGTTAAGACCGGTTTATAATGAATTTTTTCTTTCAATAGCGATAAACTTTCGATAAGACGCCGTATACCTTATAAAAAAAGAGATTGGAATTAATTGTTTCTAACATAAATTTTATATTATTAAACATAAAATTACTTTACTTACTTTTTCCACTGAATTGTAATAGTGAAAGACAATAGGAAAGATCGCGCCATTGTCTTTCTGTGGTAGCTAATTTAAATCTAGTGCAAATTTTATCGATTATTGTATCAATTTGCCTCTCTTTTTGCATTAGACTGAGAATGTATCTGCGAATTATAACGTCAATGAAGCTTATAGTTTTTACTGCACATACTGCTAAACATAAGCTGCAATATTTACCTGATGGTTTCCTGAAATTGTTTTTCGTCTAAATTCAATTCAGGATCTGCTAAGCGCGACAATATGTCAGGCACTATATTATAGAGAGCGTTGCCTTTCTGGGCAAGTTGATTGAAGAATTCCTTTGTGTCCTGCTGTATTTGTTTATCCTCGTCAATAATGCAAAGGGCTAATTCTGAAACCTGTCCTTTCACTCGTATCATTTCTCTCATTATCAGATTCGATAACATACGAACACATGTTCTACGCACGTTCACATCCTCATCTCGAAGTCTATACAAATGTAAATATTAATATTAATAACAGTACATTGCAATTTCGCTAATTTCATATTTTTGTGAAAGAAATATATATATATATATATATATATATATATATATATATATGCAAATTAATATTAATCAATATTTAAAAAAGGAAATTTTGATTCTTAAAATCTTAATCTTTGAAAATCAGAGTAGAAATCAATTTACCTGCCATAGATGTGCTTTGACCATGGTTCTACTTGATTTGGAAATCTAGTAGCGAGATCACTCATTCCGACTAGCATGTTTGACCTTATTCCAGGATACGGCGATCGTTCCAATATAGTTACTAAAAGTTGTAGAGATTGTTCACAAAATATGGAACTCACCGTCATCATTTTGCTGAGCGTGAGCGAACCTGCGGCCTGTAGATTCTCATTATTGTATTTATCGTGATACTTGCATACATCCAATACCAGTGGACTGTAATAATTACACATATGTAAGTTGCGCCTATTCTATTCTTCGGTTATTATTCTTTCTGAGCGATTATCATTATCACAATACATACACAAATTTCGCAAGCAAGCCATCTCCAGTGACAATCTCGTTTTCCAGCGTGCTGTTCACGAACTCCGCTTCGGAATCATCTATCGCACCTTCTAAAGCTTCTTCGCCGTTATCTTCGCTAGTCACCGAGTTGGCTCTATTTTGTCTATTTGATGAGATCGATGCGTTTGCCGATTTAGACCTAATATCCGATGTTACAAACTCAGCTCTCGATACTTGTTTCTTGCTTTTACCCTGCATCTTTCGCACTACATCTCTACGCTTAAGTTCCTTGTAAATGGACATATCCAGATGAATCATTTGCCTAATAGCAACATGTCCAATTATATAGAGTAATTTGGAGAATACAGTGCATGACACATTCGGTGCTTGATTCGTTTCCTTATTCGTTAATTGACTCTTTTCAGTGATGTTCAACAACAATTCCTTTATCAATTTATCAGGTTGATTTGCCAACTGGAATTTGAAGCCAAATTTTCAATGCGATATTCTAAATGTATTTAATTAATACATAATAGTTCCACTTACGTGATATATAACGTTAATTGCATCCGTCGCGAAAGATATGTAAGCGTTCTCATCTGCACTGATAAAAGTGTCTATTAACAATATCAGGATTTGTTGAAACATATCATGATTGTTGGGATATCTATACAATGAGAAAGAATCTTTTTTATCGTAACTTTAAGAAACTTCAATCTATATATATATATATATATATATATATATATATATATATTTTCATCACTTTCAATAAACGCTGACCTCAGAGATGATTTTTCGATATCCTTGCTATTTTGTTTTATCTTTAATAACATTCTGCAAGTGTCTCGTGCAAAAAGAAGATCATCCTTCGCGCGCGGATCTAATCCTACTTTCACTAACACATCTAGATTATCAGTCACAATGTTAGATTCTGCCTGAGCTATCATCGTTAATATCATTAACGCAGTTCTGCTATCTATCGGAGATGTATCTGGATACTTTAGAGAGAACTTTTCCCATAATACCTGTGCAAATAACAATTAAAATTAAAATATGGAACTTATACATTAATAAATTTATTATAAAAAGTTTATTTGTAACTTAGATTATTATTTAAGATTATTTGTAACTTTTATCATTAAATAAGATGTGTATATTCAATATTAAATACCCGCAATAATTCGCTGTTTAATTCTCCGGCTTCATACCACGTTACGATCAATTGGACTAAAGCCGGGCTTTGTCCAGGTCGTAATTCCTTTAACAAGTTGATCAAACGACTGCTACGAATTACAGCTATTTGACGAGCCGATTGCTTGTCATTATTATTGTTGAGATAGATGTCTTTGTAGACCACAGCTATATTATTACGCACAGATTGATCGCGATGGAACACTTGAAAAAGAGCTTCGCGTATAGAATTGGCTGCACCAGTTACTCCAAACTGAAAAGCGGTTCCTAAAAATGTGCACGATTCAACGGCGTCGCCAGCACATGTAGAGAACAATAGTTTCTCTGCTATCGGTATCGCCTTTTCCAATTCAATCGCAAACTCGAGACAATTCTGCAAAAGAAATATATAATTACAATCAGTTCAAAAGAATCGCTTTATTAATTTTTGTCACGTACTGTATAATAATTTATAATGCGCTTTTGCTCCTCTTTTTTCTTGTTATCTTGCTCTAATTTGTTTGCGTCAACCGTATTCTCGTTTTCTGTTATTTTGTTCTCTGATTCTATAAAAATTTTCAGCAAAAAGGCGAATAGGCACTCCTCTTTAGCCGCAGTAGAAAGATCTCTCATATCAGGGGCTTCATCTAATATCATACAAGTCTTCCACAAATATGTCACAGCTTTCGTGACTTTTCGGCTTAATAATAATTGTCTCACACGTTCGAAAACATGATCTGCATCAATATTTTCTTTGTTTTCCGTACCTATATTAAGTAAAATCATGTATAATAGATCTTATAATCTTGTAAATGTTTTGTATGATAAAAGATATATATAAAATAAATAAATACATCAATAATATTAACAACTAATTAATAATTGACTAACATGATTCATCCACATATTCCATTTCATTTTCTAAAATCTGCTTTATTGCCGCTTTAATATCTGGCTGTAAAATATTCCAAAGTTCGAATCTTTGCATATGACCACGTCCACTAGAACTAGCGATTTGAGCTTGCAATTCTTGCAATTTTACTTTTTCTTTTTCCAACTTTTTGGAAAGTTCAACACAAGTCAACTACAATAGAAAAATACATAAAATCGAAGGTCAGTTTAATTATAAAAAAAAATAGTGCGTTTTCGAAATATGCGTACCTCACCAGCAAAAGGATTGCTTTGCAACATGGCACGCAATAATTGGAGAGCCTGTTTACGAACATTCGCGCTTTTATCTTCTAAGCGCAATGCAGTGGCGGCTAAAAGCTTCCCATATCTAGCTAATGGTACAGCACCATTACAACACAAGCGTTGCCACACTTGAAGCACCTTTGATCTGACATAAGCATGGCAATCCAACATATGATCCTCCAAATTGTTTAAGCATTCATCACGTTGTTCTTTCTGTTCATTCGTGAGGTTTTCGCCAGTTAACGCTTTTTGCACTACGATACCCAAGACTTCAATCACACAGTTTCTCATAGTATAAAACTGTAAAATATTTTCCAGCAAGATTTTCTAGTTAATTAAACTATTTCTCTAACTTTATATATTCAACTTAACATATCTCATATTGAACTATTGTTTAATAGAATTATGGAAAGAGAAATATGATAAAAACGTGCCTCATTCGATAGATAATCCATGATCTCATCGAGGACAGGAATTATAAGATCGGGTTGTGAGATTGCAATGTTTTCGAGAAATGTAGATACGTTACGATTTTCTACTTCACCAATTTCGCTCTGTCCGATTTCATTCATCACTTCCTTTATCAAACCTTTACAACCACATTCCATAGCCATATGTACTATTCCAGTTGCTATGGGTACTGCTAGTGAATCGCATAATTTCACCAACTGTAACATTGCAATTTGCATTACGTTCATATTTTTATAACAATACAAATTCATAAATAATTTACTAAAATATATATACCTGAATAATTCTCACAATGCAAGTAATTCCATGATTGTATCTTTTAATCAAAGTTCCCAAAATCTCAAATATAGTTTGTCTTATATGTTTTTGCTTTGTATCTTTACTCTGTTCTAATATTTTATAACATATCTGTGCTAAAGTCCTGCAAATATTACAATATTACAAAATTATATACTTCAATTTTGGAATCATATAACTTACATAACAAATGAATTTTCAACAATTGGTGGTCTCCAAATTTTATGCAATGGTACTTGTAGCCATCGATATAGAAGTTCCAAAGCTTTCTGTTTGGATAGCTCCCATTCTTCTTCAATATCAGACTTTGCACTTTTCTTAGACTGAAAATGATAATAAATTAATGTTTAATTATATAATTTTATAATATATAATTATATAAATAGCTCTTATACCTTCCCAATATTGATATTATTTGCATTTTTTGTCACACGTTCATCTATATGACCAACAAACCAAGAGAACAAATATGCTAACATATTGTTGATACATAAATATATTTTTCTGTCCTCTTCCTCTGTAATATCATTACCATGATCAAATATTTTTTCCAAATTATCCACAAGTATTTCCACAGCTGAAAAAATAATACTCTTATATATAAACTAATCAAATAATTTATTTTAATTAATTACAAAGATATATATATTATAAAAGAAAAATTTCTACTTATAATATATAATGTGGACTTTATAAAGAATAATTATAAAGTAAAGAATATTACCTTTATGAATCCTATTAAAACCACGCAAGCAAACTACAAGCTCCACTTTATTGCCATGAACAATGATAGAGAAAAAGGTGTCAAAATTATCCAAAATAAAATGCGAGCCATTTGCTTGCAATGCTGGTCGTGTATCTACAACACATTTCCAACATTATAAATTATTTAATTATTGCAATTGTTATTATACCAATAACTTATTGTTGTTAAAAACTTATTTAGAAATTATTTATTATTATTGTAGGACGAAAACTATATTTTTAATTGTAGAATTGGAAATAAGATTTATACATTGCAATTACCATCAAGAGCCTGTGATATCATTCGTAAAGGCACAACCTCTTCAACGAAATATTGTTCGGCATGAGACGTCAAAAGTTCGTCCGCCACCAAAGGAATCACAAAGTTTTTTACCATTTTGACTAATTGCAATTTTAATTGCAACAGTAGAGTCTTAAATCAGTATAAATCTTATAAATACTGCTGTAAACAAACAGTCCTCAATTAAGAGACATTACTAACCAACAGAAATATGCACGTCAAATTCGTTTCATTTTCAAATTCATTACTACCAATCTGCTGAAGAGAAGTTGCGTTCTAAAATTTACTCCTTGTAGAGAAGCATTCAATTGACCAATCAGGACAAAGAAATTTTTTTGTGTCTTTTATTCTGATTGGTCAATCGAAACTCGTGATAACCAATGACCGCATTTAATGGATTCAGCAATTGGATAAGTTACTAGATTTTCTGAGAATACTTTCCGATTCACGCATGATGCGCATGAAGTGACAGAAAATGTATAGTTCATGTCACGCATATTATACATTTTCTGTTACTTCATGCATGAATCGGAAAGTACTCCGAATGTGTTTGTCACCACGTGGGATTTTGTTTGAATTTCTTGCCATTCATTATCACCTGTGATTATCACTCGTGTATGGGACACAGACGTGGATCGTTTCACGTAGGGTTTGTTCTTTTTAGTTGCACTGCTGCACTAGTGCAGTAAGTTGGAAAGAGACAAACATACTTTCTTTCACTCTAACTAATTGCATATAGTCACGTGTGTATTTTCTGTTTGAATCCTATTTTTGAGTTTTCTCCTCTTTCCTAGAGAGAATTCTAATCATTTATTTTTTTTCTTTTTACTCAATCTTTTTTGTTTATTCACACAATATTAAGTAAAACTTGCCTAATATTACAAAATTAAAGTTAAAAGTAGTGTGGACAAGACTCTTCCTTGTTCTATACCAAAGGGAGAATGAGAAGAAGGTTTGATATTTTTCATTCATTTCATCATATCTTTTGTTTGATGTCTAGAAATGTCCAAAAGTGAGTTAGCTTTTGCTGAAGAGTTTTTGAAATTAGTTTTGCTTTACATGCCAGATTCTCCAATAAATATCGCTAGGTCAAAAGATATGTCTTTGACCAATGAACAATTATATAATAACAATTATATATAATGTTTGTTCATACATCACATGCTTTGTGCACTTTGGATAAAGGACAAAGAAGAGAATGATAATAATAATGATGCGAGTTCTGTTGCATGACAAAAAATCCCTATCATCACTCCAACAATTCTGATTTTTTCAAAGATTAATGGCATTGAAGACAATAAGATGCATATAAATCTCAGGATGAATCTCAATCTGGATGCATCACTATTATATTCTTTGAACCAACGCAAAATAAAAACAAGTTTATTTAAGAAGATATTTCTTTTATCCAAAAAAAGGTCCAAGGATAAAATATAGAAATAATTAACAAATTTATAGTAAAACATTTTAATGCAATAGTTCCAGTAATATGGTTTTTATATTAAACTCTTGTTTTGTGCAATTTGAAATTTATGTTATATAAAGATAATAAATTGCAATTTCAAATTGCAATTTATATCACATTTACTTTATACAAGTTAAAAGGATCTTACTTTATTAAAAGAATTCATCTTAGATTTGATTATAAATTAATATTATATAATTTTGTATATATATAATGCATTTTTTTATCTTAAATTTGTTTCTGAAAGATTTTATAACAATTATGATTGTTTATTTAACAATATTTTATTTCTCAGACTTTGCTGTATATGAATTTTTAGATATTTCCTTATATATATAATTGCTGTATTTATTTTTTTATATTTTTTTAAAAAATTGAATAAAGTATTAATTTTTACAGACAGCTATATTATTTTTTTAAAGAAAAGATTTATTAAAACATATATTTTAAGAAAAAATAAATTGTATAAATAGCAAGCTAAAAAAATAAATTATATAGTGTGTATCAAATACTATATATAAAATGAAAATAATTAAAAGAAAAAGTTTTTGATTGTTATTTTTAATTTTTCTCCCCCTCTGTCATTTATATAAACATGATAAATACACAATTTTATATAAATTATATTACATCTACGTGCTATTTTCTCATGTGCAACTGATTATAATTATTTATTTGTACAAGTTACACTGTCAGAGCATGTGCAAATATAAAATCTATAGTTTTAAAGTACGTCCATATAATCTATATCTGCTCCAATATCAAGAAAATCATCAGCATAGTCTTGAACATGTCTTTGTGTTAATGGATGTTCAGAATGATCTGGATCATCTGTTACAGGACTAGGTGGTGGATTCGAAACTGTACGATCAGAATCTAATGGCATTCTATCCATGCCTTCACCTCGTCGTAATCTTGCTTGTTCTGCAATTTGTTTTGTAGAGAGTTCTGCTCTTGTTAATAAAGTTGGTAAATCTTTTTCGGATTTATCTGTAATTTAAAAGTATATATATATATTATATTTGTGCATTATTTTATTCTTTTATACAAGTTAATATTTTAAAATAAATATAATGAAATATTAAAATTTTATAAAATATTTACTTTCAAAGCTTTTCATTAATTCTTGTGTTTTCTGTCGTCTGTCATTGATACTAGCTTTCTTTCTTTGCTCACTGGTCTCTTTTTGATCGTAATAAAATATCTCTCTTATTTTTTCTTGAGGGATATGCTTGTCATTTTTTACTAACCAAAAATATACTCCACCAGCAGTTCTTCTACGAGATCCATTCATTATTAACATTCCACCATTCTCTTCAATTTCTTTGGTTTTTTGAAAAAAATCAATAGCTTTTTCTTTACCAATTATATCCACTACTCGTCCTATAAGATATATAAATATAAATATAAATATATAATTTTTAATGTTTATATATAAGAAAAGAGGTATCTTTTTATTCTTGAATCCTTGATATAACACTATCATTATAATATCAAATGTAAAACAAAACTAAATTAACAATAAGTTTTCTTAGATTTAAATGAAAATTAAAATTGTTACCTATATGAATTCCTAAAACTTAATATTGCTAGAATTTATTTTCTTCTTTATTTATTAATTGAAACCAATTATTTTATAAGTAAAGATTTTTTTAAACAAAATCAAAATTCAAATTTGTTAAACAATTTGTCATTAAAACTGAATGCAATAAAAGTGAATTTATCTCATTTATCAGGAAAGAAAATAATAAGTATTAATATAAAGATACTTACTTATAAGAAGTTCTTTTTTCTCACTGAGTTTAGTCGTTATATCTATAGCAATATCAGCATCTGTTGAATCTACAGTTGTAGACAAGTCTGCTACTATTCTAACAGAGCCTTTCTGATTGTCAGATTCCATGGAGTTTTTCCTTTTTCCTAACCTAAGTTTTACATTATGTCTGTCTGAATTTGTTCTCTTGTTAGTTAACCTCTGTTCAACATCTTTTTCATCATCAGAACTATTATTATTACAAGATTCTCTGCCATTCTGTGCATATCGCAAAGTAAAATTATAACTTTCAACGCTACGTTCTTGATACAATTTCTTTGTAACACCAAATGATATTAAGTCCTCAGTTAAAGATTCTTCTTGCATTTGTGTACACCATACCTTATATTTATCATTTTTAGTTGTACAGTCTTTTGATAAGTTATGCTTTTTTAATTTAAGTTTAGGTCTTTTAATGTTAATATGTGTCGAATCTGAATCAGAATCACTTTCAGAATCTGCAGAATTATCAGATTCATCATTGTATCGCATGTTTGTACATACATCTGTGACAGGTGCTACATAAGGTCTTTGCAAAACATTATATGTTCCAAAAACGTCGTTTGGCTATATAAAAAAAAAAAGAAAAAGTAATTATTAAAAAATATATTCTTATAGATTATATATTTTTCAATAAATATTCTAATAAAAAAATAATAGTTTATTAAGAAAATTATCTAAAATCTTAAACTAAGATATAACTAAGTTAAATATAGATAAGAAGGAATAGTTATATCATTATTTTGAATCATGATATATATTGCAATACAAGGCAAAGTATAATAATCTATTTTGTTTTGTACAAACCATCTAAAACACAAATTGCTATAAAATATATATATACAAATAAATATGAGATTTTAATAAATAATATAAAAACAAGAAGTAAATAGATTAATAAGAACCAAATATATACAGGGTAGAATTATCTTGAAAAAAATTTTGTTTCTTGTTGAGCCGTTTTCAGGCCTAACTATTAACAAAATGATATATATTGTACAATCTTATATTCTGTCTTCACCTGTATATATGTTTTAATGGATTATGTTTTAGACATAAATTAGACATAAATTATTAACACAAAACAAGATAAATCAACGTCTATGATAATAAATATCAATTATCTTAATATATGGAAGGAAATTATATATAATATTGATGGTATTATATATCCTCCATGTGTATACTATTATACCATATATTGCAATATATGTACCTAAATCACATGATAAAAATAAATTAAATTATAATAGAAAAATATAGATAAAGAAATTATATTCCGTGCAATTATACTCTTTAATCGTTAAGAAAATAAGAGTCGTCAATTGCATGGTGAGCTTACATAATGAGGTTAGATTTCTATGAAATGAAAATTTCTCAGTGACTGACCTCATCGTCAACGATTTCACCATCTTCCAATTCCAATGGTTCCGCTTCCATGCTTTTTATCAGAGATTATTTATTTATCTTTTTATATATAAAGAGAAATATAAAAGAGATGTTTTACAAAATCAATACTTTCAATCTATATCATGAAACAAGTACACACTTTCTCTTTCTCTCTTTCCTTTTTTCGCAAACGATGATATCTCAATCAGTCTCAAGCCTTAGAAATGTACAATATTTGTGTTTTTTTTCCATTTGATTTCTCTGACAAGCATGTAAGAAATTTTTAATACTCAACCTACTTTTCACGAACATAGAGCGTTAAACATTAAGCTAACATGCCTAGAGATACTACCGCACTCTTTCTTTCTTCGTGCATAGATATATAAAATAGCAAAGAGAGGGTTTAGAAATAGACGCAAGCGGGGTATACATCGGAATGCGATCTTCTTCGTTCCTTATCGGGATTGGTGGATAACGTTGCAGTGTTGTTTTCAGAGATGCGTTTTTCTGCGCGTGCGCAGATATAATTTCAGTGAAATTTAGAGATGCAGCGAATAAATTAATGCGGGGTCTACAATGCGGGTGGCACCCGATTGCCACGTCGCCAATTGGCCAATTCAAAATAGGACTCTCTGATTGGTTAATCGTTGCTGGTTACCCTAGGCACAGGTCGATATAATTGGCTGTGGTCAATCGCAACGTGGTCAAACGGAACGCTCCCTACAATGCGAGTCTCAGCGTCGCGAAGACGGTCGTAACATTCTTTGTTTCCAGTCGTAGTCGCAGTCGCTCGAGTTGGTTCAATTCAAATTCCAACGACGACGACCACAATATGGCCGCTATTCATAGTCCGATCTTATATTTAAGATCGTCTTAAGTCTGCTTGGAGGTTGACTTAAGACCTCATTGAACCAATCAAATAGCTGCGTAGCATTTCAAGCTCGAACTTAAGATGATCTCAAATATAAGATCGGACTATGAATACCGGCCTCAGTCTTCTCTCTCTTTAGGAATTAAGGCCCTTGCACAATGCTAGGGAACAGGCAAGAAGAATAGAAATAGGAATCTATTCTCTTCTCTATTGGCAAATATTTTCTATTCCGCGTATTTATTGGTGAATAGTTTCTATTCCTTATTTCTATTCCTTATTTGTCTGTTGCCTAGCATTGTGCAAGGGGCTTTATACACGTGACTGAAACGTAAAGCGTCTGCTGGCGCTTGCGCTGTTTGCGCGAAATTTCATCCCTCCAATTCTCAACAATAGATCCAAAGCGCGCCGAATTGTCTAGGGCACAACGAGGTTTCTAAAATAGAGCTTACTGGTTGTAAGTTAAATGAATGATATTCTCTGAAATCCATTTTTATGTTATTTGTACCAGAGCAAGACAATGCCGAAGGTAAATACGATACTTAATTATTTCACGTCTCCAAAAACTGTCAAAAAGCCGGAGACGAAGAAAGGAAGCGCAGAAAATTCGCAGACACCCAAAGCAGAACAAAAGAGAAAAGGTTTGTCTCGAAAAAGATGTTTCTGAAAATGCATCATGAAATACTTGTCTTTAACATTAGTGTATCGAGATGAAATAAATTATTGCTTTGTACGTTATTTTCCAATTTATAGATGTGAGATTTTGATTCATGTAATTTGAATATAAAATCCACACATATAATTGCAATAACATAGAGCTTTTGATTTATTTTAAATATCTTAAAATGTTATATAATTAAAACACAAATTACACACACACACACGTATACACTATATATAATTTATAAGTTATTACTGTTATGATTCTTGTGATTATTATATATACATATGATTATACATAGAGCTTATTGGAAATAATGGAAAAGAAAATCAAAATACCTATGATAAAAAAAGATCATATAAAAAAAATGATGATAAGGAAGATAATGAACCTGTAAAAATCAAGAGAAGGCGCTTAATTATTCCTGATGATGATTCCGATGAAGATATTGAAAATGAATTCAAAACAGGTTTGTAAATTACATAAGTAATAATATTCTTCAATCATTATCTTAAATTAAGACCATTATAGATCCCAAAAGTGAAGAATCTGAATCAACTTTGGAAAAAGATATAGAAGATGAATCTTCAGAAACAGAGGAAGAAACACCAAAAGTAAGAATGATATATTTCAATCTATTCTAAATATTAGCACTATTATAAAAAAAAACTTGTATTTAATATTCTTATATTTTTTTTCAAAGAAGAAAAAGAAATCCAATGCTAAATCCAAGTCAGAACAAGCATCATATAAAGCAGTGAGTATATAATTGCAAAATTGATTGCTTTTATATTTAATTTTTACTTTTTTGATTAATGTATATTTATGAATCTTATAATTTAATAATACATCTAATAATACATTTGATAAATTAGGATAAAAAGGAATTGAAACAGTCTGTACAAAATCAGACTATGAGCAATGGACTTGCCACTACACATGTTTGGCCTCACTTGAAATTGGATTTTTTGCAACCAGAGAAAATAAGGGACATACAGAGGAGAACCCTAAAAGATCCAGATTATGATTCCAGAACGGTTTATGTGCCAGTTGATTTTTTAAACAATCAAACTCCTGTAAGAATCTTTAATAAAATCGGAATCATTAAATGCTATTACCATGCATCAACATTAATAATTAATCATCTTAAAATTTGTTTAGGCAATGAGACAATGGTGGGAGTTAAAAAGTAAGCATTTTGACTGCGTACTTTTCTTCAAAGTCGGCAAATTCTACGAGTTGTACCACATGGATGCAGTTATTGGTGTTAATGAGCTTAGTCTCACATATATGCGAGTAAGTCTACATATTAGGAATGTTAAAATTACTTATGAAAAATGCATTCTGTGATTTATTACTTATTGTTAAAGGGTGAATTCGCACACTCTGGATTTCCCGAAATCGGCTATGGTCGTTATTCGGCAAGCCTAATAGAAAGAGGTTACAAGGTTGCGCGAGTCGAGCAAACCGAAAATCCGGAGATGATGGCAACGCGCTGCAGTAAAAGTATGAAGTCTTATAAAATAATACATTTATGTTTTTACTTATATACATACAGCTATGTAATTGGCATTGTATAAAATATCTCCTAGAAATGATGGATATTTGTCTTTTTATTTTACAGTGATTAAGACAACAAAGTTTGACAAAGTTGTGAAACGAGAAATTTGTCAAATTAGTACAAGGGGCACTAGAGTATATACACCATTAGATGTAGAAGCATCTTCACCAAATTCCAATTATCTGTTATCTTTAGTAGAAAGATGTGATCCTGGTCAGACAAACAGTTCTTTTGGAGTATGCTTCATAGATACAACAATAGGCGAATTTAATCTCAGTCAATTCGATGATGACTATTGCAATTCTAGATTGTTAACTCTACTGGCTCATCATCCACCAATGCATGTATGGGACATAATTACGATTTAATTATTGTTAACAATAATGAAATTATTGTTAACAATGTTGTTACAACTTATGACTTCTATTTTCAGGTAATATATGAACGTGGTAATCTATCGCGAAAGATTTTGCAGCTTATAAATAACACTCTACCAGCAGCGCTAAAAGAACCGCTACAGCGCGAAGCACAATTCTGGTCTGCTACAACTACATTAAAAGTTAGTATAGATAATATTAGTATATACATACATATTGTACATATAGTATTTATTACATGATAAATGTTTGTTTTCCTCTTTTTGAAGAATCTTCATGAAGGTAATTATTTCAAGAAGGAGGAAGATTCCGACTTTGCTTGGCCTGCAGGTTTAAAATCATATCTTAATGAAGGTATTTATGTATAATCATTTTTTGCAAAATTTTTGCTTTATATTTTTGTATGTGATACACAATTATCGTTATATTATTGTTATGAATTAGGAGATAGCTTGGGTTTAACGCCAGCCAGTAACAAAGAATTAGCAGTACATGCACTAGGAGGCTGTGTATACTTATTAAAAGACTTCCTGCTTGAACAACAACTATTGGCACAAGGTTGCTTTAATACTTACATTCCGCCGGATTTCTCAGCTGCAAACAATCGCGCAGGTCTCAGTTATACAAACACTATGGTGATAGATGCTGTTACAATAAAAAACTTAAGAATTTTTGGAGAGAATTCGCTTAATAGTGTTTTAGACCATTGCTGTACTGCATTTGGTAAAAGGTAAATTTTTATATACTAGCTTTTCATGTAAACTTTATTCTATACACTGACAAAAATATATATATTCCTTTTAGATTGTTGCGTGAATGGATCTGTAGGCCATCTTGTCGTAAAGATATTATAATAAAACGCCAGAAAGCTGTGCAGGAATTGGTAGATCGAATAGATATGATACAGTCAGCTCGCGCAATTTTATCAACACTGCCAGATCTTGAAAGATTATTAAGCAAGTAAGTTACAAAATCTTACTTGGAATGACAAATTTTTGAAATTTATATGTATCAATAATCATTTATATGTGTTGATGCGAGCGCGCACGCGCGCGTGTGTGTATATGTATGAAATATTTCCTAAAATATTCAATTTTTGATGATTTTATTACTAATACTTATTAATACTTTTGCATACATATATTTTTTTTATAATATGAAACATCCCAATAAATTTCAAAAAACTAAAAAGAGATTTGTCAGTTACTAAAAAAGATTTGTTTATATCTTTAATAGTTGTTTGTAAAAATGATTTGTAACAATTTATATGAGGTACTCTATACATATCTTCTGCTTTAATAGAATACATGCTCAAGGAAATGCAGCTAAAATGAAAAATCATCCTGATGGCAGAGCCATAATGTTTGAAGGCCCAACGTATTCAAAGAGAATAATTGTAGAGTTTACTATGACACTTGCTAAATTTGAAGAAGTTTTGAAATTTATTGAACTATTTAATGGTATATTTATTTTATTTATATTTTATTTAAATTTAGCAAATTTTATATTCTTTCGGTAATTCAATCGTTTTTTTACAGATTTTGAAAGTAATTTGATAAGCCATTGTACACAATATGAACCAAATGGTGATTTCCCTCAATTAAGGGAAATATTAGACTACTTTAAGGTAATGTTTTCATTTTCAATAATTCCTCTGATCATTTATTTATTAATTAAAATCTTTATTATTTATCTTTTTTATTTAATGTACCTATTTCAGACTGCATTTGATCACGAAGAAGCTAAAAAGCAAGGTTGTATTGTTCCTAAAAAAGGAGTAGATGCTGAATATGATTTAGTCTTGACTGAACTTGCAAAGAACAAGAAAGATTTAGATAAATATTTGGAAAAACAAAAACAGCATTTTGACGCAAATATATCATTTTTTGGGACAGATAAGAAACGTTATCAAATTGAAGTTCCTGAGTCACGAGTTAAGAAAGTTGGTCCCGGATATGAACTACAGTCACAAAGAAAAGGTTTTAAGCGTTATTATACTGCTGAAGCAAAGGTAAAAGTAATAATTTATATTTAAAAAGAGCTTGTCTTTCTTCCTCTTCCTTTCTCTCTTTTTTTTGTGATAAAATATCTTTAATATTACACAAAATTAATTGATTATTGTAGGAACTTTTAGCAAGACAGATAAATACAGAAGAGCATAGAGATAAAGTACTGAAGGATCTTAACAGAAGAATATTTGCGCAATTTAGTGAAAAATATGATATGTGGCATAGAGCCATTTACAAAGTAGCTACTATGGATGTGCTTATTTCTCTCGCGGATTATGCTCGAAACGGTGATATGTGTATACCAGAGATTCATGATGGATTAGACGGTGAGGTAATGGAATCGTTTAGATATTGCTTATTAAAATTATTAAAAATGCTTATTAATTTATCGAGAAAATATGACAACAAATATGTAATTCTTATAGATCTTTATCAAAATAAGAGACGGAAAACACCCTTGTATTATATCTGATAACTTTATTCCCAATGATACCCTATTGGCGACTGATGATACTGCCTCCTTGATGATTCTAACAGGACCGAACATGGGAGGCAAATCAACTCTCATGCGTCAAGTGGGCTTGATCACAATCATGGCGCAGATAGTAAGTTCTATGAGAATAATGCGCACGAGTGAAATTAAAATGATGAGTTATAAGTATAAAATGTGAATTCAATTGTTTTGCATAAATAGGGGAGCTATGTTCCAGCTAGTTCATGTTGTATAACATTGGTGGATCGTATTTTTACCCGCTTGGGTGCTAACGACGATATTCTGACTGGACAGAGTACGTTCTTGGTTGAACTGAATGAAACTGCCACGATGTTGCAACACGCCACACCCTATTCCTTGGTTCTTCTTGATGAGTTAGGTAAAGATAACTTATTGATTATCGATTTATTCATTCTTCATTTTAAATATCAAACTGATGAAAATATTCCTTAAATTGATAAAAAATATATTCTATTCTAGGACGCGGCACATCAACCTATGATGGTACAGCAATAGCAGCTTCGGTTGTTGACGCATTAACTAAGTTAAAATGTCGTACATTATTCTCGACTCATTATCATTCTTTGGTCGAAGATTACAAGACCAATAAAGAGGTCACATTAGCTCATATGGTGAGAAAATCTTATAATTACAATAATATAAATCTTTTGTTAAAAAATACATACATTAATTTATGTATTGTTATTTTATTACACATATTTATCGATACCAATTTATTTTTAAAAATTTTATAAAATCCTCTTTTGTAAATTTTAATTTTGTTTAGGCATGCATGGTAGAAACGGGAGAAGAGGAAAACGTATCAGAAGAGACGGTAACGTTTTTATACAAGCTCAGTGAAGGAGCTTGCCCGAAATCTTATGGATTCAATGCCGCTCGACTAGCAGGCATACCATCTATTATCACAAAGAAAGCGCATGAGATCGCTAGTAAGATGGAACAAGAAACTAATGACAAACACATTTTTATTGCTCTCTGTAAAGCCAACGGTGCTCAAATGAGAAATTTTATTACTGCTCTTTAATGTGCCAAATACATTATTACACAAGCACGTTGAATAAATATTCATATAATCTTTTAATTGTATCAGATATAATAATCGTAATTATAAATCGTATAATAAATCATATTCATCATCATTATTCAAAGAATAATTATTTTTTGTGGCTAGATTCGTAAATTATAAATAACCTTAACCAATTAATTACTAATTCGGAAATAATATAGAAAAATAGGCATTACACTGTTTCCAGGGAGAAACAAAGCAAAGTAATTTGCTTACAAAATTTTATTCATCATTGTCAGAGTATAAAAAGGCTACTTTTTTGTGACAAATATATTGTGTATGTTATAATTTAATTTTACTCACATCAAACCATTGCGTAAAAATTTGCATAGAAAAAAAAGCGAAACATGTGCACGATTCTTTGCGTAAAATAAATACATTCAATTTATGTACTACACCCGCTACACTATCGTAAAAAAAAAAGAAGCGAGGTGATGACGAACATATTAAAATACTTATAAGAGTGAGAAATAAATATATCATCTAAATGCGCGCATTTCATATAAATTATACGATGATATATTTTTGATTTTTGGGAAATTTCTGATTATATCATAGCAAAACCACATTAATATTATAAACAGCAGGTATATTGGTATAATATCTTTTTCATTCAAAAATCATGGGGAAAAAATAAAATGATATTTTTTCATTGATCGCGTTCTTTTGAAGTTAATAAATAGTTGATTAAGAAGGCACGAAGATTAAAAAGCACTTGATTTATTTAATGGGTTATACATAGTATACCTTTATTTTTGGAAATAACACATACCTACTTCTAATGTAGTATAACTCTGAAGTTTCCACAATCTTAATTTCATCATTAAACACTGCTGTTTTTTTATTACAATTCATTCCTTTGATTTTTACGGAATCTATTTTTTTTTTGTAACAGTGTCACACTAATATGAGATACTCTCTATTCAAAATGTTAATTATTTTGTTAATTATTTTCACATGTAGACTTCTTCAATATATTTTTTCTTGATTTTTGGCAGATTTTTAGATAGTGCAATGATTTTTTTCCTCACTCCTAATCAATGCCTATACTGTAATAATCACGATACTATAATTCTACGATCTTGGTACTGTTCTGTATATGTATATATGTGAATATATCATTGTCCTTTATCTTGAGATGAAAGCGAATTCTCAGACATGTGATTCTCTAAGATGTTATATGATCGAAACGCGATATGCAAACATTAAAAACGAGCAAAATACTGCGATACCTGATACGACAATCGTACGCAATATAATAAATATAAGATTTCGGAATGGAAAATATAAATAAAATACAAAAAGTACGAATTAAACATTATAATACTGAAAAACATTGCTAATATTCAAATTTTACTGCAATTCTAGCTGGAATTATTAATACTGTTCATAAAATGTTGATTATTAAATATTTTGAAATACAAATAATTGAAATAGTTTACACAATATGTTCTTACTTTATGCTTTAATTTTAAAACAAATATTTTTGTTTCCACCTCTCTTATCATGAAAATTATTCTTTTCTATTTATTTATATTCTATTATTTATATTAGGTTCATTATATATAAGCCGTTAATAAAGGAATTGCACTTCCTAGCAGAATGATTTACGACTCGCGAATCGTTCATCGACCGACGTAACATTTCAGCCATGAAAAAATATACTTTACGCGCAATGATCGTTTTAACTACCTTTATACAGTTACGTGATAAAACTTGTACCAGAGTTGTTAATTGAAAGACTGGTAATTCACGCTCCAGAGAAACTCAGGACCGGTTTAGTATCATATTTTCTACAACATTTTATTCGTTTTGCAGTAAAGAGATTTGCAAAAATTCTATTTATTAAATCTAACAATTTTACCATTAATTACCAATTCGATATTTTATAATTCTTTTAAAATATAGAATTTGCGTGTCATATGATTGAAATCTAAGATCTCAAGAAATCAATATGAAATATGATAGAATTGTTGATCGAATTGCGTCATTGAAATGCGATCTTGCTCGTTTTTACGTTGCAAATATTCGGATGATTAATGATTTTATTATTATTATAGTATTTTCGTCCATCCTTATTAATCCTTTCGACTTTCCTAATTGCAAATATCATGTTATATTGAATACTGCATTCTTGTTTGAATACTGCAGTGACTGATTATAATCATGTATTTACGTCTGAATTAATTCAAGAACGATTATTGAGAATAGTTATCCGAAAATCAAAAGGCCTGTAAATGTTATTCTTGCTCCTCTCTATGAATTTTCTTGAGAATAGTACAAAGCAGAATGATGTTAATCTACTAAGACCCACTATATTATTTCACCTGTCTCTCAACTCTCTCTTTTTTTGGGATTCTAAAAAATATAGAAAAGTATACCCATCGCCATAGATACACGGTATGGTATAAATAGACTTCTATTTCGGGGTGTTTTACGGACAACAATTCGAAGATCTCAAGAGATATAGTGGGCTTTAATGAGTTAGGAGTAACAGAGCTGTGAAAGAATTAATCAGAACATATCTCGGGAAAGGAAAGAAAGCGACGGATGATGACTTTGCCCTTTACCACAGTCCAGATGAATAGCCACCAGGTGGGATGCGGGTACGCGGCTTTGCTGCCGCCGGCGACGTTTCATTCGACTTTTCGCCACTACTGCTGGAATTCGAGCTAGCAATTCCGTTCTGCATGGCCGGTCCGTTTTTCTGCATCTCGGGCATGTAGCCAGTTCCAGTTACCGGATTGCCATCTGCGAAAAGGATTATTTTCGTTAGTCTGAAATCGCTGACAATAAAATCTGATATGTATTGCCGATTCTAAACTTCAATTATCCGATCTCTTAATACTTCCACGTTCACGCTCGATATATATTGAACGGTTGAAAGCAAATTAAAATAATATTCATCATATAGGCAAGATTGTTGAGTTATAAGCAGATCATTTTCTTTCAATTCTCGAATAAATTTAAAACCTTACTTGCAAAAAATAAATACCTGACATCGATAAGTCATTCATAAATATATTCAATAATGAAATAAAGTAACACACACACACGCACACACGCATGCTTTATATGTAACTTTGGATATTTTAAAGTTGTATCTTGAAAACTTATATTATTTTTTCAGTTTTTCACATTATTTTAATTGTAACTTTTGTAATTTCATTTAAATTACGGAAATATTTCTATTGCATGCACATTATTATCCGCAATTCATATATTATTATTTATAATTAAACATCAAAAGATATGTTTAAATTCGTAAATAACATCTTGGAATATTACTTCTTGTTACATATAGTGACAAGGGCTCATTTTGAGGAAAATGGATAGGAGTAGCTTTAATTTCTTGCAGGCAATCAAGCACATAATTCAAATAATCATAAAACTACTAAATAGCAAATAGAATTAATGTGTATCGCTTGTAAATTAACATCTGAAATAAAGTAAAATAAAAATATATATTATTTGATAAAAATCAAACACACAAAACAGGCTTGCAAAACAACTTGGAGCAATTCTAGAAGTTTAGTTTATGTTCAAAACAAATCGGAAAAATACAAAAAATACAAAAGAAGGCAAATGGATTCTACATGTACTTAATATCGATAATCGATAACAAAGAAATATATGATATAGTTATATCTTTGTTATCAAGATTCAAAAGAAAAAGATTTCTTGTACCAAATTAATTTGAAGAATGAAAAATGAATCCTCTATGACAATTCCAAACGATGGATGTCATGGATAGTTTCCAAACAATTAGCAATTTCAATGAAATCACATAAATTCGTAACAAAAAATTTTTTGTGCATTTGATACTATATATAAAAAGAATTCTGTATTTTGTTATACAGCAAAATAATTCGTCGCTATAAGCAACAACTCATTAATTTAAGTGACGAGTTATAGCGCAAGAGGCTGTATAATAAGAAAAGAGACGAGGAAGGTGATTTTGCTTCATGATAATGCTCGGCTTCATGATGCAAAGACATAGGAAGACGTAGGAAGTAATTTTTAATCTTGGGAAGAGATTTGCCACACCCAGTACATAGACTTGACTTCAATGGATTTTCATTCATTCCAATTTTTACAATATCAATTATTATATGATACGTACTTGAAAATTATCAAAGAAATGAAAAAAATGCATCGATGAATTTTTCGAATTGAAAAATACTGCTTTTTTTCGCAATAGAATACGGCAATTAGTCGAAAAATGGATCAGAAATATCAAAAATAAATGGAGATAAAAAATAAAAAAATTAATTATTTTGATAATTATTTAGTATATCCATAAATTAATGTTGATAATTAAGTTATTTAGTATATCCATAAAATTTAAATTTTAAAAAGGACATCGAATTGATTTATATGTATAATAATTTAATAATATATTTTTATAATAGCTTATTTGTATTATTTATTGTCATTTCTGATTTTTATAATAAAATTAATAATTTGTAAATATTGTATAAAACTTTGCATTAATTATCTTGAATACTTAAAGTATTTTTACAAAAAAATTAATAGTAATAATTTTTAAATTAATTTTATTCTAAATAAGAAGTTTAAATAAATAAATAAATTTAAATAAACTGAGATTTTTCATTTTTTTTGCTATATATGTAACAATATTATATTTCCATAAAAACACATGTATAAATTTTTATTTTCTCTTGGAATAATTTTTGATTCATTTTTGTGAATTGTTAACACATTTTTTGTGTCGCTTTAAATGCAATACAAAACAATTTATATTTTATAAATGTTTTCATTAAAATAATTAAAATTAAATTTGCATAATATAGAATTTCAATGCACTATTTAACCGCTTATTTAAATTTATTTATTTATTTAAATTTATTATTTAGAATAAAATTAATTTAAAAATTATTCTTAATTTTCCAATATAATGCAATTAATTGAAATTATTATAACTTACAATTTACTATTATTTAACTTATAATTTATTATCAAATTTACATTGCTGAATTAACTTTTGTCGATTATATATCTCAGAATACAAAACATATTTTGTTGTTACATGTTAAAAATGTTATTTTTACTTTACGTTGTTTCATCGAGAAAAGGGTCAAGGAAGTATTTAAGGAGGATAAAGGATTTAAGAGAATATTGGATAATTGGAGAACATTACCTCTCCACTTTCGTGGGTTGCACCTCACAGGCGTCACCTCAATTCCATCTCCGGTGACCGGGTTGCGCGTCGGCAATCCTCCTACCGAGGGATGCGGCGATGGGAGTGCAGTTGCACACCATGTCAACAGCCATTTTCATCGCCACGTGCGTACATACAAAGCGACCAGAGCCATTTCACCCCATGCATCGTAACACCATCGCAAATCCATAATCGTAACCCAACCAACTTGTGTTAATACGCGGCAATTCGTACGGACGAATCGCAGATACTACATTATTAAAAAATTCTGCATAAATTTCATAATAGTTCTACGTTAGAAACAAATATCTTTTATATTATATTTTTCGTAAGTTATATTACAATTTTTATTTCAGGAAAAAAATTATATTTTAATGAAAATATATATGTATACATACACACACAGAATGTATCATTTTAACTTTTAAGATATTCAAAAGAATATTTTCGAGTGAGAAAAATACTTTCTTTCGATACTAATCAAAGATTATTACTGATCAAAAATTATTTAAAGTATGAAAAAGAAAATGTAAGAAAAAATTGGCTCAGATATCAAATCATTTTATTTTTATACGTGAAATATGAATCTAGAATGAGTAAATGGAAAGCTCTATTAAAAAAAATTTTTTTAATAATTTCCAATAAAAATAGATGATTTCCGGTTTAGAGCTGAAATCGAATTACCTTTATAATCAATACTACAATCAATGTCTCTTTATATTTATATAATTTTTGTATGAGACTTTTTGCAATGGAAACTGTGGTTTTGAAAAAAATTTCAATGCAAAAGTTAAAATATACATTCTGTACATATATACACACACACACACATACACACAAATTATAAATTCACAATTGTTAAATCGCAATTTGTTCCTTAAGCCTTCCATGTTTGAATTTTTATATAATTTGATTATTTTATATCTATTTTAATACATACAATTTTATATTTCATAATAAACACATACATAAAAATAAAATGTTTCTAATATTTTAGATTTTAATGTGTTAGATTCGTCCGTACGATACAAATTAAATTAAAAGCAAAAGTGTATTAAATTAAAAGCAAAAGAAATTATCAAGAAAAGAGGGATGAATATTTATAATGGCAAAAGTATAAAAGTACAAAAATTAAAATAATGATAATGTTATGAAAACAATTGCATATTATACGAATCACATAAACAGATACAAATTATATTAGGTATATAAACAGAAGAAAAATTTTGGAATGATCTTTTTATTCTTTTTTAATAATATATGCCGATAATGATATGCTGTTAATGATTTTTTGAATAGTAATATGTCCCATATGATATTATCATTATTATAAAAAGATTTCTTTTGATCGTGCGTGTTTGTGTTAAACAAATCAAAAATTGTTATAAATAAATACATTGTGATCGATTTTGATGGTGCATATCTGCAGTGCCAAAATTCGTGAATGACGTCTCGAAAACGACATTGAAATATTTTATCTCTTTTACAAAATCACTTTTCAATATTTTTGATTCAGTAATAAATTTACAATCCTCAATGTATCTTTTCAATTTGCCAATTTCATTTATAGAAACAAGATTATGCATATATATCGACGAAACAATTAATTACTATTACTATTGTATTATATACGTATAATTCAATATATAATATATATTTTCTTTTTTACTATATCTTGCTATGCATCAATGTCGTTTATTATGAGTTTATTACTGTGAGAAGATCAAGAAGTAATAAATATAACATAAATAATTTAATGCAAAGCGAGATGTAATTTAAAGCAGAATGTATACGGTACGAACTTAAGGTCTAAGCAATGTAGTATGTCTAACTCAAAATATGTGTTTTTATTTTTGTGACTCTAGAATAATAACAATAATAATAATATCGAAAAAGTTTTCTGATTTTCTAAAAAATTACGATCGTATTTAAAAACATCAAACATTTCTTTTACTATAATGATAATTTTACCGATTTTCGCGAATTCGATGAGAGAAGAAAAAACACCTATTACTTTTGTCAATTATGAAAAATTATTTTTGAATGATTTCGCATCTAAATTATGATCAAAGAAAAAAATGTGATGGTGTTGCGTGTCATCTATTTGAAAGTCTTGTTACACACTTACGAAATCGTTTCTTTCTCCTAAAAGCTGCTTGTAAATAATTTAAGAAAAAATGATATATATTAAAAAGGATCGTATAATAAAATTCATATAAAAATTTTTTAATATTTTGTTGCACTAATGGAATAATAGTTTGATTTATATAAAATATTTTTTTCGCGTTTAATTAAGAGATTTTTGCAATTGATTTTGCAGGCATAAAATTTTATAAATAAAATACATATATATGTATTTTATGAAACAAACACCGAATTATATTATCAATTAATATGTCTTTTATGCGAAAGGTAAAAAAATCATTATTAAGATATAAAATTTAACGACATAATTTTACAATAAATGATGTTCCTAAGTTTAATAGAAGAAGATATTTTTCGACGTAACAAGAGCGTAATATTCAATATAAAGAATAAGTTTTACGCCAAACGCCTACAACACACATATTTTAACTTAGATCAAAATTAAAATTGGCCTTAATATTCGGGCAGATTTTATGAAAAAAGGACGTCTGATCACGAATGCGAGAACAGCTTAGAAAATCCCGGGGCGGCTAATATTCTCCGTTGATAATTATCTTTATCTCCATAATACTACACAACTTTAGAAAAGAAGAAAACTGTAGAAAAGAAGAATATTTCGCTTTTTTTTAATATATTCCAAAGTGAAAAATTTATAGGAAATATTATAATTATAGTTAAGAAAAAAATAATTACAAATATGTATAACTATTTAAATATCAATAATCATATTTTATTGAAAAAAATATCAAGTTAATGCAAAAGTGTTTGTTGTATTTTAAAGATATTTTCCAAGAAAAATGTCGCATATGCTTTTTTTTGATACACTTTAGACTAATAAAAATGAAATTAATAATTTTCTAATTTTCTTCTTAATAAAGTTATTAACTTAACAGAACACACGGTGTTGATACAACAGCATATTCCAGTATTATTTTAATTCAGGGCTCCTAAATTGATAACGGAATCGAATAAACTAATATATATGATTTTTTTTGTTAGAAAAAAAATTCTTTTAAAAGATGTTGTTAAAGTTTATTAATAACTCTATTGTTTTAGCTGAGAAATCTGACATATGTTTTGCATCAACTTAATAGATAGATCATTCTATCCATCCCGGTAAAATTCGCAACTATTTCTCCGTTCGTGATTGTCCCTTACCTGTGATATCGTTGGATGAATTATTGCCATTGCTAGAAAAGCCATTAGCAATGTTTGGCAATGAGCTGTTGCCGTTGCTGATTGTGCTCTTGGCGCGTGACATCGCGGGGCTCGACGATAGCGTCGAGGTCGATGATCCTTCCCCGTTGAAGAGAATATTGTTGCCCTTGTGATTTTTTTTTGTATTTGGAGTGGGTAGGGCATCGGGAGGACCAAACAGACGATTGTATGAATCATTACCCGGCTTATTGGACCGCGGCGACAGGACGGCAGGCGTGTTCTCGGTGCCGTTGGAGTTGCCGAAAAGCGCCGAGCCCAACTGAGACTGATTGTGGGTCTTGACACGACGCGGACTCGTCTCCTCTGCGCCGAAAATGTCGCTGCTACCACCACCAGGTGGTTTCAACACCCTGAAAACAGTAAAATTAACACAATGAACAGAAAGATCAACGAATACAAAGTTAAGAATTCGAGATCGAGATTAAAATTTAAAAGCAAGATTTGTACAAATTCAAAAATAACATTCTCATAAATACACCTAGTCAACTTTGTACAAACTTGATTTTGTCAAGTGTCTGCTAAAAGGGGGCATTTCAACTTGGAACACATTTTAATAAAAAAAATTATATGTAATGAGAGAAATTTGCTGAGGCAGTTCGAAAAACTGACAAAATCAATCGTTATTTCCTTCTATTTAAAATGTATCTCAAAATTTTTTTTGGATACTAAGACTATTTTGACTATGATTTTCGGATTTAGCAAATGAAAGAAGGTGAATCCAACGATTTTTGCATCTCCTCAAAACTGAAATGCATACTCTCTTTTAATACATAGTCTATTAATTTTGATTATGTCGATAGACATCTGTCAGAACTATAACAGAGTCTGCTGCTAATTTACTATCAGATTGCGCGTAGATCTCTCTCTCTCTTACTCGGTATTTATTGCCAATCTACTGTCAGGTTCTGCGAACAAGCTCTGCTGACAGATCACAAGTGTGCAGACACTTGATATCAATTTGCTAGCAACTTCTGAATAAATCTGTTTTAAATCTGATATATTGCGCCCATTTTGCTTACGGAATACATGTATATTTTAAGAAAATATAATAAAAAAGACTGAGAGAAATGTTCAAGACATAAATTGGCAAAATAATAAAAGGTATAAAAAGATTTAGATAAATTTAACAGATAAGACAAGAATTCTAAGCCTGGCTACAAATAGATACGTTTGTAATTATGTATATATATCTATATCAGTATTTTCTGATAATGTCGCAAGTCGGTTTTTCTTCAAAGAAAAAGATAAACTGTGCACTAATGCCGATGATGGTGAAATCAGCATTGGAGAAATCGAATCAAACTAGCACGATACTTTTGAATTCCACCAGTAAATTAATATGCTAACAAATTAGCGGGCGGATATTATAAGTGATATAAATTGTGAACGTATATCTGTCCTGATTTCCACTTAATAAAGCGCGGTGCGTGTGGCACGCGTGTGCATTGTCGCGTGCTTGTGAATGCAAGAGAGAAGGAAATGAAGATTCAGTAGACAGGATTGGAACAAACTTAGTAATTAAGAATATAAAATGCTCACGCTCTTCTCTCTTTCTTCCTACTTTCTGGTCATCTCGCAAAAAAATGTTGATGAGGAGATGTTAGATGTTTATGGCTCAATTAGAATGTAATTTTCATTAGCAAGGAAATGATGTGTCTCTCACATGCATCCTCGATTTTCTAATCATTTAGAGAAATGCGATCCTGCTTCGAAGTAAATTGCTTCTAATCTTATAAAATGAATTAATAACAGAAGCCTTCAATTAATTAAGTACAAAATTATATTATTAAGAGAAAGACATCATTATTCTAAATGTCGATTGGGGATAACAATATTATTTTGCAAAGAAACTTAAATTTCTTAAGATAGAAACACATATATTATTTATTGGAGAGCTATTTATATTTTCGGTAATATAAAAAAATGTGCAAGATAATTATAAATCATACGCTTTTACTTATCTCGGGTTAACTAATAATAAAAAATCGTTCATTTTTTCGATCAAGAAAATGACTTTTCTATTTAATTAATGAGAACCTTTATTTTGCAATGTTGTGTATCATGCGTTGCATCATCATGATGAATGAACATTTCTATCATCATCACATCTGAAATGATTACACATATCTGAAGTTAATGGAAATAAGTTAAGAAACAAGTAGCTAGATTTTACAAAATCTTTTCTCATTTTACTGCTGCATTATTAACGTAAAATGTATTTTCATACATTTTTTCTCGGTTTTATAATTATTAAAGTCAAATATTTTATTACAAAAAATAGATTCTAGCCACGATAAATAAATTATTAATTTTATTTATAATAAAACTTCTTTTATCAATTATTATTGATCAAATTCATGTAATTATTACTAATTTTTAAATTTTTAATTTCTTATATATTCTCATGCTTCAGTTTTTTGTACTTTATTATATCATGATTATATTATTAGAAATATTATATTAATGCCTATGTCTCTTGCGAAAACACGGAATATAACTGTAGTTGTAATCGCGATATAAATGTATATAATAAGAATAAATAAAAAGCGGAGAATTTTATATATTATTCACATGTCTCATCATATTATAGTCTTATAATGTCTTATAATATCAATCAGTAGATCAATAGATTTATAAATCACAAAACAAAATTGTAGAAAAATCATTTAATAATTTATTTAATTGACAAAATAAAACGAAAAGGATTATGAAATAAAATTTTCTCTTGTTTGACAGATATATTGCGACAAGCGTCGTGTTAAAAGAATCTATAAGAATTAAAATAAGAGATCGAGTAACATCATAATAAACATCGATTAATCTTGTTGGAGTTCGCGGGATGGCACGATGGGGCTAGTATTTCGGCGAATATCAAGGCGATGAGGTCGTACCATCGGGTACGAATATCGCTTATATTTGACATCGATCTGTCACGACATAATTTGATGCAAAAGAAAGAATAGGTAAAGAGATGGTACGCGAAATAAAATGAATCGATTTAAAACGAAAAGCACGAACGTTTATCTTAAAAAAAGAAAAATTTTAAATATGTAGCAATAATAATCGTTCTGTAATAATTTCCTGATTAATTTCTATCCAGCTCTTCTAGTCGATAGTTAAAAATATGTTAAATTCAAGATTTTGTATATTAATAAATAATGCAATCTAAAAAAAAAGAGTTTTCTCTTTTCAATCTAATTTGAAAAGAAAAACTATACTGCAACGAGAAAATTTAATTTAAGGCTTAAATTAACTTCTATCAAAATTATTCAAAAAACCCTCGATGAAAAAAAGGATAGTGAATCTGAAATATTTTGCAATATTTCTTGAATAAAAGTCAATGATGGGATCATTATAGTTCGGTTGATCATAGAGTCGACCGATTTGTACCACGAAATCGATTATATTATGCGATCATTGATCCGATCGGATAATATCGTTGATTTTGCGAAATTACGTGAATCATCATAGTCGTTATGCAACTCGCAAAGTTGACAAAGTTGATGTAGCTCGTCATTGTTCTCGTTGTAGAATAATGTAAGTAAACACGCTAATTAGCTGTCAGCCATAAACAGATATGTGTGAGTCGGCGGATACTGCCATGCTTGTATTAATGCGTCCTAATATGTTATTCTACATATATTTCGTATTCCTAACAAAAGATCGGAAGATACAAATTAGAAAGTTATCTAGGAAATGATTTATTTTTCCTGAATCATGCTTAATTAATCGATCGATTCAATCTTCGTGTCGATGGCTGCAGTCGTGTTGCATTCTACTTCAAATTTATTAAAAAAAGAAAAAATTAGTTAAGAGAAAGCAAATAAGAATCAAGCGTGAAAAGTGTGACGCGCATAAATCTTCGAGAGAATTTTCAAAGAGAAAAATTTAATAAAATATTTTCCGACTGTCTTCAATAGCTGTCAAAAAGATAAGCAAATATATATGTTATGTAAACGAAATACAGTTATAATGTAAACAAATTCACTGGTTTCTTTCGTCTCGATATTCTTTTTATTATCTAAATTATTTTAATTTTTAAAATGGAAATTCTAGAATTCATGGGTCTTTCAAAATCCAAAACGATACTATTCGAAGACTCAAAAATCAGCGAGATTATTTTCCTATCTTAGAATTATATTTTTGTTCGTGGTTTTTCTATTACACGTCAGAACGTCTACAACTAATTTTTTTACTATTTCGCACATGTTAAACAAGTTACAAAGAAACTGGTCGCGTCAAGAATCGGTCTGTTTATCATCCAAAGACAAAGTCGCTACTATATCAAGCCTCTGTATAGAAAAAGCGTTGTAACGGAAGTATCTTGATGGCAGAAGAGAGGATGCACTAATACTTATTAAGGCCGATAAGCTAAATATTAGTTCCCAATCGTCCGATCGAAACGATATCACATGTTTATAATAAGATTGAATCAAATAGAGATAAATGCACAAGCATGTTCACTTTATAATATTCTATTTTTTTTCCGGCTTCCTATATATATATATATATATATATATATATATATATATATATATTTTACATATTGTAATAAATATCAATTTCTGAAAAATAGTTATTAGCATAAAATGCAATAATTCGAATCTTTCATCAATCAGAAAATTCAATATATAAATAAATTCGAATAAATAATTCGAGTCAATTAACTTGCGATAAAACTACGTTATTTATTTTGCGCAAAAGAAAAATATCTTTAATTGCAATGTAATTTCTATGGGAAACTCATTTAGAAAACACGCTAAATCATTAATTAATTCTCATTGTCAGTGCAAAGCCTTTTCAGCTGATATCATACATACATCAAGAAGAAAGTCACGATGAATTCAAGCATTCGGCACGAAGTCATTATTAATATGACGCGCGAGACGAATTCTGCAACATCTGTGATTTTTTATTGCGAAGTGAATAACAAAACAGCAAGTGACTCTACGGTACTTGAATTCCGCCAAGCTAACATAAATGAGGACAGAAACCCGTAAGATGACCGTCATCATGGTCAGACAGTTAACGCTCTTTTTACCTACTTTTTACCCCTTTTTAGAAAACTCAAATATAAAATTTTCATCGAGCATAGATACGAAAAATCATAATAATTTTATTCACAAAGTAACAAAGTCTAATTCATGTTCAACTATAAACACAGAGCGATGATGTCCATGTATAATAATAACTCGCGCTTGCACGCGAACTAAAAGACAATTACTCGAGGATGTCGATCACGATTTTAACAAAAATCAATTGCTTAAATCTTTCGAGTCTAGAGAGTCTTTTACATTCACGAAGATTTTTTCTTGGCAAAGATTGAATTATAGCATTTTATGTCGACATTATACGTTATAATCATTCAGACACCCACAAAAAGTTACCCTCCTCAATCGGGAATCTAATTAATTATGTGTTATATCGACCACACAAAACATGTAATTATTATAAGTGAAATATTAAATTCAATTACGAAGTTTCTCGAATCCTGATGGAAAGAAAATGTTAAAAGAAAATTCTATGATGTTATAACGTATATTATTAGCTCTGATATATTAATACGAAATTATATAACTCAAAGTATTATTTTAATAACATTTATTTTATTTCTAAAAAATTATTAATATATTTTTAAACTATGGAAGAAATGTAAATATGAGATAAAATGATGAAATAAACATTATTTTGCGTATACAGCACAGTAATGCTTATTTCTCAAAAAAATATAAAAAATAATATTATCATGTATAATACGCATAAATTAAGCATTAAGGACTCTTTAATTTATATGCTTATAAAAAATTCAAAATTTATAAAATTACATATATCTTGAATTATCTTCAATGAATCATTTCAACCCTTGAACATGTAAAAAAGTATAAAGAAATACGAGTTCGAGCTGCTTTACTAAAGTTTATCAGAGAAAAACACTTTCATGTATTTTCTCATCACAAAATTAAAATTTTAAAAGAATTTAAGATATTCTAAAAAAGAATAACACAATAATATTTTAAATAATAACTGATAGAATATATTTAAAGAGTATATCCTTCTATCACTGAAAAGTTATAGAATAAGAAATCTAGAAGCAATATCATCGGCTTTCCTGCTATTATCTGCAACCGCATGTTATTTTTTTGCTATCAGTATTTTTGAAGGAAATAGTGTTTCCTGAGAGAGATATCTTGATAATTTATTCTTATTGAAAATACCAGAGATGACAGCAATCATAAATAAATGATTAAATATACTTATGTATTTCAATAAAAACAATTTAAATATCTATCTCTATAATTAATATGATGATTAAATTTATTTTTAGATTTTTACTTTGTGTTCAATATATTTTAATTGACAGCAGAAAGATATTAAAAAGATTTCCTTAAATCTTACATGATTGCCTAACTATTTTTTACGTTATTTGTAATGCATTCCTTAGATATCTTAAAAGAAAATATTTTGTTAACTATATCTAGCTACATAGCAATATCAATAAACCGTTATTAGGACATAGTATTTTGTTTGCACCTCTGAAAAAAATTCTCGACTGAATATAAATCGATTAAACTTGTCATAATTAATGGAACAACCGCAAGTTTCACTATATTCTTATATCTTTCATGCGAGCTTATAAATAATAGTTCAAATGCACTTCCACTCCCAGTCCGTTTATGTCTTTCTTTTACTTCGCACTAAGGAACAACCTATATCTTGATCACGATTGATGGTGTCCATTCTATATTTCTTGCAATTAATAAAAAACTCAATTTATAGACTCTAAATCTCATGTAACCAAGGGAGAAAGAACTAGACATCCATTGAGAAATTTCTTTTTACCATTTCGACACATGCGCAATTTTAAAAATCTTTATTAGGATATTGCAATTTAAACCTTCAACTATTATAATAAAATTTAGAATTTGGAATATTATTGCTACCAAATTAATTAAAAACTGAATAAATAAATAATAAAGAATAATATTGAAAATATAGTAAACTACAAATTACATATTTAAGATATCTATTTTTGATGGAATAAAATTTAAACGAATGAAATTTAATTATTCTACTTAATCTATTATAAGAATTGAATCTTTGGAAAGTTTAATCTGCAAATCTTTCAAAAAAGATGAAATTTTCTCTATTCAATACAATACAAAGCGAAGAAATTCGCTAAAATCCTAAAAATAAAATATTCATAATTATACGTTTTACGTCGAGTGATGTCATACAAGTTCCGCGAAAGCGCATTAAAATGAGCGCAGCGATTTCGAATCACTTAAGTGCAACGAGAAATATCTTCCGGTTCCGATAGTACCGTTTGTCGGATCAATGCGATCAAGTAGATGCTAACTAGCATCCGAACATATCATTTTAATATTAGATACAGTGTCCAACTGTGTTAAATAAAAGATTTTCTGAATTATAAATTTCAAAGTATGAAATTTTAATAATAAATATATGTGTGTGTGAATATGAATTTATTGAAAAAAAAAACTATATTGTTTAAATCACCAAAAAAATATATCACGATAAGATAAGAAAATTATAGAGAACATAATGCTTTTTATATAATAGATTTTATAAAACAGACTTTTTAATAGATAAATAATATTATAAGTGGCAATTAAAAGCTAATATCACCTCGTCATTATTTTAAAAGAATATGATATATAGTATATTTTACACAAATGCTCAAGCGTAAATTTGTTTTAATGATCGGTTATTTGTTCGTGTATCTATTCTATTTGAGACGTCACAACAAACTATCGATTGGGTCCCTTCGTATTTCTTTCGCAAGTAATATCAGATTTATAAAAAAATTAACGAGGATAAATTTTAACATTCATGTTTAAAAAAATAGAAGGAAAATTTAATGCGTAATGTTGCGAAAATGTCGCCTGGGAAAAGTCCGCAGTGCAATACGTTTTCATGTTCTCTCTCTCTCACATACGCACAATTTCATACTACGCACACATACATACACAATTCTCATCATTACCTTTTCTTTCCATATCCGACATTGTCAAGCTCGACATGCCTGTATGTTGCGTAAGTGGCCATGATAATCCCCCGGGACTGGATCTCAATCAGTCAAGAAAAAAAAGAGGTGTCTCTTAGCAACCTCGAAGCGGTCGGGCTCTCCTTCTTAATAGAGGCAATCACTCCTCTTTCGAAATGCAGGCGGCACACGAATGCAAAATGCGAATTTAAATGAACGGACTTTTTTTATGCCAAGTTCTTAGATCTCCCACAGCTCACGTTCTTGGCTGCAGCTGCGAGTATTGCGGTGTTTACAGGGTTTGCGATGTAAGTGCCACGAATTCGGACAAGATACTGACGGTGAACGAAGATCCAGCAAGTATATAATGCCTCCTCCACCAGTGCCTCGTGTCTGTTTCTCTCCCTCTTTCGTATCCGCTCTCTTTGTTACTCTCTCTCTCTCTCTCTTCCCCTCTCTCTCTCTCTCTCTCTATCTTTTTCTTCTTTTCGAATGGGAGCTGTTGCGAATAGCCACCTCGACCGACTATCCTGGCAGTATGCATTTCCATTCCCGCGCATCCGCGGACTAGGAGACGGCGACGACGACGCCGACGCCGGCGTCGTGCATTCACCTCAATCAATACGCTCGGCGAACCAGCCCGAGTGGGAGGGCGAGAGAAAGGAGAGGAGAGGAAGAGCCGGCATGTAGGTATCGCTCGTTGCACATGCACGCCACTGCACGTGCGGAGATAATAAGTACAGCGGGGGCCAGAAAACCCGAAGAGATCACGGAACAGCGGACAGAGAATTGAGGAAGAGATTTGAGATTTCTCTTTTTTCTTCTTTTTTTTTCGTAGCATAATTTATAGTGCGCTTAGAATCGATGAAGAATGAAAAGAGATGAGAAAAATGATGAAATTTCGTGAAAAGTGAAAAATGAGATACTTCCGTTTAACAAGTATTCCTTGTAAGCTAATTGTTTTAGCGACTATTTTGATATTTGGATCTCTTTACGTGATTTCTTTATACACAACAATTCTTCTGTGACAAATTAATTTTGCGAACAATTTTATTTTCCTATTAATTTATTCATATTAAAAATCTAAAATTTATATTTGACAATTTTATACTTTCAAATTTTATATATAATTTATATTTTTCAATTTATTAATTTATTTTTAAAATTTTATTTTATTTTCGAATGTTATTCGGCAATTATACATTTTTTGTAAAGTAAATTCAATTGCCTGAATGATATGTATTTCATATACACAACAGATGTCAAACTTTTAAATATTTAATAAGTATCATGCGAATCTCACCCATACAATGATAATAAAAGATTGATGTGGAAAGTTTTCATATTATATGTGAAACTTTTAATATTGTCAAGTTTATAAATATGATCAAAAATTGCACTTATCGATATATTATAACAAACAACCGAGATACAGATAAGATCAAATATCGATAATCATATCGAACAATATTTTAAAATAATAAAAATATTTCAAAATTATGGAAAATATTCTTAAGCCATTATTAATTATAGTTTTATGCGTACTCACAATTAATAAATAAATTAGTATAATAAAAATAACATTCTAAATATATCCACTATAAGATTAAATATATAAAACTGTCCTAATAGTTATTATTTGATTCTCTATCTATTGATCTTTATCCCGTAGAAAATATAGTTTAAAATATTATGCAACGCAAGCAGATATAATTATATAGCATATTGCTACTTTATAACACGATAATACGTAACAAAATGTCTCGTATCTCTCTATACTTTCGTATTTAAAAATTCCCTTAATTACGGAAAGGTATGCGACATTTTTTACTTCATCATACATTATTATATGACTACAAAATTTTATTTTATGACTATAGTTTTATGCTAGTCCATTTTTAAATTGCTGGCAAGCTGGTTTCTCACAAAGAGGATAAACTGTAAATGATGAAACACGAAACGCGAATATGGCTTCCGTAGTCTGTTTTACGAGGGTTTCACTGCTGCGCTTCAGCAGAAGACCGAGAGGGTTGATCGGTCCACGCGTCACGACGGGACGTCCTTAGGAGATTTTTTTCGGTTCTAAAACGCTCTTTCTAATTGAGTGATTAAATTGCCGTCGTCCCTTTGTGACGTGGATGATAAACGCATCAAGTTACCGCCGACGATTCACTCTGTTTGGTAATTCTATCATGCTCCGATACGCGTACATCCGATTTAATGGACCGAATTTTACGCACATGCCAGCCAAATTGTACAGAATTATTCGAATTTCCACGCTTCGTGCGCAAAATTTACACTGTCATTTTGTAGAAAAAGTTCGCAAATTAAAATTTGACACAAAAGTTTTTTTTCACTAAATAAATACGACCTATTTATGTCGCAAGAAACCCGCTAATTATACTGAGAAAGTCTTATTAATGACTTTTAAATCGAGAAATAAATAATGACTTTTAATTTATAAATCGAGAAATTCTTTCCTTATTCGTTTTCTATTTTAATATGTTTTAAAAACAAAACATTTACTTTAAAAATTTTCTCTACGATAGTCTATCACGATAAAATAAACATTTACAATCGTATAAATAATAAATCGAATATAATCGTATAAATTTAAGCCGCTATTTTGTTAAGAAACGTGAGATTGCACACTTGCTGCACACAACTTTTTTGTGTGATTACTAGAATATTACGAAACGCGTATGCAATTTATTATTTCATGTATTATTTTATAAATTACAATTTAAAAAAGCTCAAATTTAAAAAATGATAATATTAAATAAATATACAAATAAAATTTTCATCTCAAACTGAAATAAATTATATTATTCAAATGAACGTGTTAAACTTTATATGATGTTGCCTCAATAGTTGAAATTATTTTGAAATACAAGAAGAGAGAAAATATTCAGCAATATTAAAATTATATTACAAAATGTGGAATATATTTCGAGGCGATAACAAATTAATTTTCACGCGATATTTATCGTTTTTATCATATCATTATTAAAATACACAAATCTCTTGTACTTCAAGTGGTGATGATTAATAGAATGGAATGCCATAATATATGAATCATAAAACCTTCCTTCCTTTTCTTCATTAATACATTATTATAAAATATTTTATTAATTATTTAACCATTTATATAAAAATACAATTATCTATATTTTATGTAATATAATATTATATATATACAATTTTAAATAAATTATAATAATTATAAGTATTTGAATAATTATTAAAATGAGAAATGATTGTAAACATAATTTGTGCTCTATTTTTAACTGAGGCTATTGTATATGAAATTTTAAGCATAATCGATATAAATTTGATAATAGAAAGTTATTCAAGTTGTAAACGTGGCAATAATGTACCTGCTAATAATTAAGGAAATTAAATTGTAATTCTACGAATAAAATACATATTAATGCGTATATTTATCTAAAATGCGCATTAATACGTATATTTATTTATCCAAAATGCGTGTTAATGCATAAATTCATTTATCTAAAATGCGTGTTAATGCATAAATTCATTTATCTAAAATGCTTATTAATATGTGGATTTATTGAGCTTTATTTTATTTCTATTTTAAATTCCTCATTATTTTAATGACATTAAAACATGCTTATATAAATACATTAGTGTTTTAAAGTTCGGCAATAACTTTCATATTATATACTTGTTTATATATATTGCTTCCGTATAATGCTTCAGAAAATATATGATAAAAATTTAACGAACATTATCTCAGATTATATCTCAGATGTTGCATCATTTACAAGCTATACCTATTTATGTGAATATAAATATTTTTTACAAAAATCCTCAAATTAAAACATTTTTTAAAAAGATATAGGATGTTTTATAGAGATATAAAATAAAAATTACCAGTGGATTAATATTAATATACGTCCACTAAAACTTATCTTATTATTGATGATAAAACGTTATCTTATTATTGAAAATTAAAAGGCTATAAGTGACATGTACTTATTTTCCAAGCTCGTAGAACATGCTCGAAACTGATCGATATTATAATTTCGTATATGAACAATTAAAAATGTATGAATAAATTTGTAAGTAAGTATAAATTGCGACATAAAAAAAAATTACTTGTACGCGATAAAAAAAGTCATTGACAGGTGGATATGTAAATAAATGTTATTTCACATTTTCGGTGTGATATGCGATATTTAAATGACTAAAACTTGTGAAAACAAGCATTGATACATTTTTATTTTTATCTGTGTTTCGGATTCGAGAAAACCGAACAATGTTCGCTCGAACAAGCCTTTAGAAATTAGAGATAAGATGACGGGAGGATGCGAGAAGAAAATCTGGAACATCGATAAAACGCGATGTCGCGAGACGTCGAAATCCGAGTTTTCTATTGGATTCGAGAATCGAAACGACCATGATTATTGGTTATCGATCGAATCCACGTGGATTATTTAGTTCCGCAGTCTACGATTATTTAGGTCAGAAAAATCAGGATATCACCGATGTATCGTGTCACGCGAGTATGATTCTTATAAACGCAAATTAAGTGCAAATATAATCAATTAATTTACAGATCTTTTCTGTAATTTGTATGAGGCCGAAATAATTGATTTTGATTAAAATTGATTATAATCGCGCAATTCTTTTGTTTTTAAACAGATATTTATAATACTGTAAATTGCATAATTATCGAATATATATAATAATATATGCGTTATATTATAAGATAATTATAAATTTAAATGAATAACTATCAAAAGAAACAAGCAATATGTTTATTTTGAAAATAATATATATAAATGGTACATATATAATTTATAAAAAATTACTTACATAATTTTTTCATCGTTTCGTATGTTGTCCGATGCTTTTGCAGACCTCTTCTTCCTGTTTAGTCATCTTTTATTGTTTCCTCGCAACACTTGCACTCACTCGCGAAAACACGATTAATTACGATTAATCGAATATGCAGGACATTTTATACGGCACTCCCGATCGCGGAATAATTATATGAGGTACGCATTTTATTACAAGAGTGAATATACGAAATATTTTCGTATTACTTTATTGTTCAAATGTCGACGTGCATATGATAACAAGGCCGTGACACGTGGACATTAACGTACTATTGTTTACGCGGCCAAGGCCGAACATGTTACTAATAATTCGTCATACAATAGATCGTTATAAGATCGTTGAAAAAGCGAACAAAATAATTTTGACTTTAAATACCATTAAAGAAAAAATTTATTGCTTTGAATTTTTTGTCACTACAATTCTTACTTAATTAAGCGAATAAATTATTCGAAATATGCGTCTCAAGAGCTATCGTCGCGATATAAATAGTTACATATTATTTATAAAAGTTAATTACTCATTTATTATATTATCATAGCAAATAATTTCCCGATAGTGATTGCCATCGCGTTTAGAAAAGAAATTTAACGAAGACGTCTCGGCATCACTACTTGTCTGTTCGACAATCGCCGCGTGAATAACAGGGTCGCCGCACGTAAACATCGTATGACAAAGACCGAATACCGTGTTATTACTATTTTTTTTATTAATCTTT